GAGGAGTGAAGAGAGAAGAAATGCCATGGTGCATCTGCAGCAACACACCTGGATGCCTTCATCTGCCCGAGATGCAACAAAACATGTCTCACCTGCATCAGTCTCTACAGCCACAGCAGGCACTGCAGCCTTCCAACAGCTTGACCTCACCCACAAAGGTGCATTCCTCCATTGACTCCCAGGACAGATGCCAGCACCCATTCACAGAAAGTCAATTTACCCAGCTCCGTATTTGCATGCCTTTTAATCTCTTGGGAGGGCATGAGGCTCCCTCACAGCACCACCGAACGGTGGCTTCTGCATCACAGAATGAAACAGCTGTGAGTCACCAAAGCCTCCACTCCTAAACCATTCCCAACAGATGCCCATCCATTCTGGAAACATCTCATGAAGTTTCACCCTGTCAGACATTATGTTGGAGGCACAAGGCTATGCACCCCAGCCCATCTGTTCCTGACTTCGCTACATTAAATGGCAAGGGCCTTGAAAGCACATTCGCTTGAAACTGCTGACAAACCTTGGTGAGCTCTGGAAAGCTCTGTGATCAGGGTTCCTGAACTCAGGAAGGAACCCTGTAAGCAAGTTCGGTGGTGGAGGAGCAGAGACAGAACACACAGGCCCTTGCATCTGGCATGCTCTTGGACAAATGAACGGCTCGTCTGTTTCATTGCAGAGCTGCTCCGACGGGATTTATTCTAATGTTTAACCTCAAGCATTGGCTTGTCAGCAGGAAGCATCTCCAGCATGGTGAGCTATTTTGGCTCACGCTCCAAGCTTGTAGCTAGTTTTTACAGCACTGCCACTCCAAGTGTGAGGCGAGTCGTCACAGGGCACTAGGAGTTGCTTTGGAGAAGAGTGTCTCGCTCTCCTGATCTCTTGATCATCTTCACTGGTCTGAGCGACTTGCGCAGCACGGCTTCCATTGAGCAATGGCTAACCAGAACTGAGTCCTAAAGGGAGCAGGTACTTCACATAATGATAATAACAGACATGCTGTGACATTCAAATCACTCCAGGCGATGAATTAATTTAGCTGTTTTCATTTATCAGCAAGAGAGCCTCATACTTTTTCTTTCCCTGGCAGAAAAGCAGGTGGAAATAATGCACTGTTCCCCAGACAGAGGCAGCAGGTGCCTCTTTCATCAAGAACTGTGACACACCCTCTGCTTCTATTGCTGTGCCTAAAGTGGGTCAGAGAAAATCCTCCCTCCCCACAACCAACTCTCGACAGACAATGTTTAAACATGCTTCTGTATAAGATATTCCCCTCCCTGTTTTCATGATTAAAATGCTTTTGAAAACCTCATTTTGAACGTCTGACATTGCTCTCAGCACAGCAGGAAAGAACCATATTGGCACAACAGCACAATGTAGGAGTTGTGCATTGGTGCTGGCAGACGGGTGCAGCCAGTGTATGGAGTCCAGATGTCAAGGCAGCCTACTTGGCCCTGCAGTTTCCACCCATTGTGTTTATTACCCACCTGGAATAAGGTGACAGTGAGTTCAGGAGACCACATTCACATGCCCACAAGGTCTACTGTAATGGGCTGGAGCTTCTAAGGGATCCAACCTTTTTTGAGAGAGAGAGAGAGAGAGAGAGAGAGAGAGAGAGAGGTGAATACATGGCTCTGTGTTGTGAATCTAATTGGGTTCTGGAGCAAACTTGGAGTTCCCTTTATTCTTAAACCCAGGTTTATTTATTTATTATTTGTGGTATGGTGTAGTGGTTAAGAGCGGTAGTCTCGTAATCTGGTGAACCGGGTTTGCGTCTCCGCTCCTCCACATGCAGCTGCTGGGTGACCTTGGGCTAGTCACACTTCTTTGAAGTCTCTCAGCCCCACTCACCGAACAGAGTGTCTGTAGTGGGGGAGGAAGGAAAAGGAGAATGTTAGCCACTTAGAGACTCATTCGGGTAGTGATAAAGCAGGATATCAAATCCAAACTATTTTTCTTCTTCTTTATTTATTTATACATACCCTGCCCATCTGGCTGGGTTTCCCCAGCCACTCTGGGCAGCTCCCAACAGAATATTAAAAACACAGTAAAACATCAAACATTAAAAACTTCCCTAAACAGGGCTGCCTTCAGATGTCTTCTGAAAGTCAGATAGTTGTTTATTTCCTTGACATCTGGCAGAAGGGCATTCCACAGGGCGGGTACCACTACCAAGAAGGCCCCCTGCCTGGATCCCTGTAACCTCGCAGTGAGGGAACCACCAGAAGGCCCTCGGAGCTGGTCTCTAGGATAAGATCTGAGAAATCCCTGCTGTGCAAAATTACTCACAGCCAGTGGAGACTAGAAGTGGAAGACAAGATCTGGCCAGCAGACCAGATATGAAACTCCCCTGTGCTCCGCAGACCACTTTTGCAGATGGGCACATCCACCCACTTGTCAGTTCCCTGATATCACCATGATCTCAGGTGCTGGAGATTCCTCACTTGTGTGAATTCAAGCTACATCTGTGAAGGAAGACACTGTACAGCTCAAGCCGTGGCTGTCAAAGAGCAGGGAGCACACTTAACAGTTCTTCCTTTTAGTCACAGATTGACATTTCAAGCCATGGTTCGGACTTTCCCACACCAGGTGAAGGTGTGTGGGTTTGCTCCTTTGGTGGAGGGGAAGAGCAGGATAGAAATGTAATCATAAATAAAATGACAGTAAATAGATTGGGTCTGGCAAGTCTAATTAGGAGATTCCCCACCCCTGGTGTAGAGAGAACATTGAGTTAGATGGACCAATCATCTGATTCGATACAGGGCAGCTTCCTATGTTCCTGTGTTCCTCTGTCTCTACGGGGGGAATTTAACACTACATAAGGAAACCCTCGTTCAACGGGATGTCGCCTTCCTCTTCTCCTTGCTGCAGCCCCCATGCACCCCAAAAATCTGCCCTTGAACCAGATTTTGAGGGCACACGGGGAGGCTGCAGGGGGGAAGAAGGGAAGGTAGAGTCCCGTTCAGTCAGTTCCTTTGCACCCAGGCAACTTGCTTGGAATGCAACACTTTGTTGTCATTACTGTATCCAGGACTTTCAAGTAAGCCAAGCAAAGTGGAAACATTTTTCTTCCCGAAGTGCAATACTTCACATTTGTCTTCATTGTATCGATTGCAGGCTAACTCTCCTATTTATCAAGATCATTTGAGTCTCTAATCCTATCTTTTAAAGCATTTACGATCCTTCATCACAGTTCTGTTTTCCAAACAAATACGCATTTTGTTCTCTGTCCATGTTCTTGATGGAAATATTGATTCAGTGCAATCTATTCCCTTTTCAGCAGACGTCAGAGTCATAACCACTATGTCTGTGATCACCAACTTTAATTTATTTCCTGTTACAAATTCCCAGCTTAGGGACATAGATTGTGAACAAGTTCTGAACACAAAATGGAAGATTAAAGAAAGAGACCAGGCCGCGGAGAAAGATACCTGCCACAGTACCTCCAAAATACCTCAGAATTGTTTGAAAACTTGGCGGCTTTTAGGCAGTACTAAGTAGCCGTTCCAATCACCCCATAGCTGTTTGGGTAACCAAGTGGGAGAGGCTCTGCAGAAGCCTTTTTCACATGAATCAATTCCTAGCAGGTAGCAGATAACCTCTCCATTCTTAACGAAATCAGCCCTGAGTGCTCACTGGAAGGACAGATCCTGAAGCTGAGGCTCCAATACTTTGGCCACCTCATGAGAAGACAAGACTCCCTGGAAAAGACCCTGATGTTGGGAAAGATTGAGGGCACAAGGAGAAGGGGACGACAGAGGATGAGATGGTTGGACAGTGTTCTCGAAGCTACCAACATGAGTTTGACCAAACTGCAGGAGGCAGCAGAAGACAGGATGCCTGGCGTGCTCTGGTCCATGGGGTCACGAAGAGCTGGACACGACTAAACGATTAAACAACAACAATTGTGAATCTACGAAGACTTCTACAGTGCATCATTGTTGGGGGTGCCTTTGAGGGCTACTCAGAAGCTTCACTTGCTTGAAAACACAACAGCCAAATAATTGACTAGGATTAAACAGATGGAATATACCGGTATCTTGTTGGTATTAAACATCTTCCCTGGTTTCTTATATGCTTCCAAGTACAATTGAAAGTGCTGGCACTGACCTGTAAAGTTATATAAAGCTGAATATCAGAATATCCCAAAGGCTGGTGTACCCATACAAATCTGCCCATTCATTAAAATAATCATCAATGGCCCTTCAGGGATTAGTCAAGTAGTGACAGGAAAGAGGGATTTTTCTATTGCACTTATGGAACAATTATGGAACACCCTCTTCAGAGGTGCTCATCTATCACATGCTATCATGATTTTTGGCCAAATAATTCAAGAGTTTTAAAAACAAATATACATTATTGTCTGTGATCAATAAGTAAAACATTTGGCTTCAACTAGGAATGGGTGAATGTGCCAATTTCAGTTTCCCTCAGTTTGTCATTTTCCTAATGTTAAATTCAGTTTCTGCAGCAATTTTTTAAAAAATCTTCATGAAAATTCATCACCCTTCACCATAAAGTTCCAGGACAAAAAGGACATAAAGTTACAGCAATTTAAAAACACAATATTAAAAGGTGTTCATAAAATCGCCGTCACAAGGAGGTACACACATTATTTTGTATGTAATTTTAACTAACATGCACATTTTTGCCCTCAATTTCCCCTAACAGAGCGAATTGTTGTATGTTAGTTTCACTAGTATATGTATAGATATGCACACTTTCCCCTAGTAGGTGCGTTTTGGTACACACTGGAGGCCTGCATCATAAAATTCAGAGATATGCAAATTTCAAGGGATATTTATACTTCAGTTCACATACTGCTCTGGGAAATGTCAGTTACAAAATTTCTCATAAAAATGCAAATAAAAATAAAAATGAATTTGTTCCTCATTCTGTTTGAACCACTTCAGCAGCCACTCCTGTACCACAAAGAAAAGAGATGCTCTGTGCCTTTGATGGACCTGTCACAGGCCATTCAGCTGTGGTGTCTTTTCTCATAACAGGAAGAAAAAAGCCTACATTGAGACGTGCTGGGAAGAGGTACGAGTGGGAGACTTTGTGCAGCTGCAATGTAATGAGACCGTCCCTGCGGACATCCTGCTGCTCCACACCTCTGATCAGAAGGGGATCTGTCACTTAGAGACATCAAATCTTGATGGCGAGACGAACCTTAAGCAAAGACAAGTTGTGAAAGGATTTTTTAATCAGGTATGCCTGGAAGCGACTTTTGCAACTTGTCTTCCCTCTGTTCTTTTAGTGGTACCTCGGTATGTAAAGAGATTTAAGACAGAAGCACAGAACTGTCCAGCTGGAGGGAATCTTTAGCAGGATAACTTCTGGCAAACCCATCTGGCAAAATGTGCTTTGATTAGCTTACACAAGACCATTTCCACAACTGCCACCATGTTGGCTTCAGGTGCTAGATCAAATGTGACTCGGAGCTCCTGTGTGGCAAAGTGGTCTGAAAGATGTCGTGTGAACCAGCCTCAAGCCTTTTGAATTACTGTGTTTGGAAGGCAGGGCAGAGAGATGGTTACTGTTAATAAAATAATGGCTGCTACACTTTGAATTCTAACACTATAGTAATCCTATATATAATATACACAGGTAGGTGCCTCTCCAAAGCTATATAACTACAGCAGTGAGTCTGCCTTCATCCAGGCTGGCACAGCCAGTGGAATGCCAGCCATTTTGTGTGGCACTTAACAAATCCCTCATTGATGCAGGCAAGAAGCATGGCAGAGCAGTGAAACAAAGGTGGGCCAAGCAGATATAAAATCAGCAGGTTTACATTGTAATGCAAAAATAAATGGTCTTCTATTTCGGGAGATTGGAATCACATAGTAACTCAAAGAGATAAAGGAAAGAGGCTTTCAAAATCTGAGAGGGAGACAACATTTGATTGCTCTGAAAATGAAATTTGGACATGCTGGGGAATGGAAACTCAAGCTGGTAAAGTTAAGGTGTCCAAACCTTAGAAATCTGGCCCAATTCAATGTGCTAGTACTAGCATAAAGGTAAAGGTAAAGGTACCCCTGCCCATACGGGCCAGTCTTGACAGACTCTGGGGTTGTGCGCCCATCTCACTCTATAGGCCAGGGGCCAGCGCTGTCCGGAGACACTTCCGGGTCACATGGCCAGCGTGACAAAGCTGCATCTGGCGAGCCAGCGCAGCACACGGAACGCCGTTTACCTTCCCGCTAGTAAGCGGTCCCTATTTATCTACTTGCACCCGGGGGTGCTTTCGAACTGCTAGGTTGGCAGGTGCTGGGACCGAGCAGCGGGAGCGCACCCCGCCGCGGGGATTTGAACCGCCGACCTTTCGATCGGCAAGCCCTAGGCGCTGAGGCTTTTACCCACAGCGCCACCCGCGTCCCTAGTACTAGCATATAAAGTGCTAAATAGTTTGGACCTGAGTACTTTTCCCAATATCAGGCATCTCAGACCTTATGTTTGGCAGGTGAGGCCTTGGTGGTGTTCATGCATTCAAAATCCCATTATTCTCTTTGCTACTCATTCTTTAAGGAAGATAGTTGTGTGTGCAGCCACAAATACATTTGATGCTACATTTTACAACACTGTATAATTGATGTCTAAGCAATGTTTTTATATAGAAATACACACACATAAATACATAGGCCTGAAAACACACATACATTATAACTGGGTTCAAAATTAGAACACATTTCAACCTGACAGGTTAATAACAAATATTTGGGCTCCCTGTAAATTGCAGTGTTGAGTGGCAGTTGTTTCTGATGTAAATTTAAATGTTTGATGTTCCTTTTTCACTACACAGCTTGTTACTCTTTCAGAAATAGTGCACTGATTTGCTCCTGACATAACAGGAACTCACTGTGGGTTTGGTTTTGTTGCAGAACACTGAATTTGAACCAGAACTTTTCCAAAGCACAATTGTTTGTGAAAAACCCAACAACCATCTCAATCGATTTAAAGGCTATATGTAAGTTACTGCAATGTTTATGCCTACATTCATAGATGTCTCAGACAAACTTCATTTGTACTTACCTACCTATAACCTGCACAGCTGGCACTGTTGCACAACAGAAAGCAGAGGGAACCTCCCAAAATCTTCACACACTGAGCATAAAGAGGTGCTCTGCAGAACCGCTCTTTGGTGACTCTGATGTGGACCTTGGGCAGAGTATCTGTAATGTAATACTCTGCCCTTGGGCTCTGGTTTGAAGCCACAGCATGGCTTTGGAACAGGGTGGCTAACTTGAGGTCAGATGTTTGGCGATTCTGTTAACCTTGACCAGCATACCAATGGTCCAGGGATGATGGGAGCTGGGGGTCCAGCAACATATGATGGGCCACAGGTTAGTCACCCCTGGTTTAGAAATGTGATATATTTGTGTGTAAGACTGAAGTCCAGTACATGGTTACCTAGATATAAGTCTTGTTGAACTCACCAGGGCTTATTTTTTTAGTAGATATGTGTGGGATTGCACTGTAAGAGCCAAGAAATAAATGGAAAATCCTTTTCTTCCTTGTAGGGAGCAGCCTGACCTCACACGAATTGGTTTTAACAATGAAAGTCTCCTTCTTCGTGGATGCACAGTGAGGAACACAGAGGTTACAATAGGAATTGTTGTCTATGCAGGTAATGTTTTTCCCCACGTAGTTGCTGAGAGGGTGCTTTTAAGTCTATTCAGCCCAAAAATATGATTTGTTCCTTTGTCCCAACAGTCATCCATGCAACCTGAAATTTGTTTTGCACTCGCAGAGTCTCATCTAATCAAGGTAGCAATGCTAGATAAACTTACTTAGGAGTAAGTCTGACTGCATTTCATGGAACTTGCTTCTGAGTAGACATGTAGGAATGCACTATAAGTATGCCCAACAACAACAACTGCGTATATAAACTGTTATAAACTTCATATTTGAAGGATCTACCTTTTTTAATCAGTGGGGTTAATGATTTGATTTGAAAAGCCGTGCAGTGGAGTCATAGATTTGGCATTCCCAGTCCTCCCTTAGACCTATGTCTATATAGCATATTAGTGTTAACACTCATTTGTTTGCCATTGGGGTTTACCATTGTAAATGGTAGGGAGGTCAAGAGTGGCTTTGGCTAAATTTGTTGCTTTATGAAAGGTCAGTTTATGGGGATAAAATGTGCATCAGTGAAACTGTTTGGCTGCCATACCCGTGAGTATGCTTAGATACAGATTTGTACTATTTGTGCTCTAATTGTGTTTTGTATTTTCTTCTTACACAAAGACACCCTGGGAACTTTTATAAAAGAGAGGGGAATTAAATAAAAAAGTTATACAGTATTTGAGCAATACCTAACCAGGAACAGCCACAAACAGTCAGAAGGGAGACAAACATGGCTTGTCCCACTTGGTAACCCAGAATGGGTACCGAGAGAAGCTACTTACAAAGAGAACTGAATCCACTGTGAAGAAAGCACTTTTATAATAGAGAGCAAGAACCTGGTTCCCTCCAGATGTTGATGGACAACAACTGGTCATTGACTGTACTGGCTGCAGCTGTTGAGTGAGAGTTGGAGTCAAACAACATCTGGAAGGCTTCAGGTTGCCTTTCCCTTTTTTAGGTTTTCCAGGGCTCCAAGACTTTTCAATCTACTGCTCTGTCCTGTGCCCTCTTGTCTGGAAGTATTGCTGAAAACAATGCAACTTGCTCTGAGTAAACATATTCATGACTGGGAATGTCAGCATGTTACCCAATTGCATGCCCTTGGACATCCATGAAAAAAGAAAGTTGCAGCTGTGGTTGTGATCCTGATCAAGACTGTCATTCCAAAAAGAGAGCATTTTGAACTAACTTCCTTCCCCTGCTATGCCTGTTTCAATGACAGCTCCTGACTTTAGGACTGTGCCTTTAGGAATACTGGGGAGGACCTAAAGGCACATTTTAGGAATATTCATTCCTAATAAATCCCTCTGCAAAACTGTCTATTTGCATCGGAGACCTTTGATGCTGGGACTGTCACTTGATATCTTGTTCACACACAGCTCCACAGCGGCCATGCTCAGAGCAAGGGAAAGCAGGGAACTTGGAACTCACCATGAGGGGTACAGAATAAAGTCTGGTTTCCCTTTCATGTTTTGTGGTTAGAACTTCAAATACCCGTCCACTGAAATTGGAGCAATTTGATTCTAATTTAGTACACATTTTCTTTTTGGGCCTGCTGTTTTGTTGGTACTTCAGATTCACTTCAAGAAGAGCCAAGTAACATTAAAATTACTCACTGCTGGATCTGACATATTGGGCTTTCTTTATGTTCACACAGAAAGTGCACTAGCAGCTTCTCATTAAGTCAATTTGGTTGCTGTGAAATAGTCAAACATACTTAAAAATCAGTCGGCCATCTAATTAGATTCTAACACTTTTAAGTACTTTGTCTCTTCTAACCTCAAGTAGCTGTTCATTGTGAATACAGTGTATGTTTCTACAGTGTTCAGACACTGACACAAAATCCCTTTCTTTGCTGACTACAGTCATACTTTGGGTTACAGACACTTCAGGTTGCAGGTTTTTTGGTTTTTGTTTTTGTTTTTTGGGTTATGGACCGCCAAAACCCAGAAATACCAGAATGGGTTACTTCTAGGTTTCAGTGGTCGTGCATGTGCAGAAGCGCTAAATTGCGCTTTGCGCATGTGCAGAAGCACTGAATTGTGACCCGCACGTGCGCAGACGCGCTGCTGTGGGTTGCGGATGCTGCGGGTTGCGAACATGCATCCCGCACAGATCACATTTGCAACCCGAGCATCCACCATATAAGGAAGTGACTCAAAAGGAAATATCCTACACTAATAATGGTAATAGTTATAGCAGGTTATAGTAATGGTAATGGTTGCACAAGCTTACCACTCCCCCAAACAGTGTATTCAAGTAATACTTCCAGGAGGTGGATTGGTTGTCAAATGTATTTCACTGAGTAACATGCTCAAGGGAACTCTATATGAACACCCACATCATATTGTAGTATTAGAAAACTGTGCTGACTTTAAAGTAAGGTATCTCTAGACTTTAGTGTAGAACTGGGTGGAACATAACAGTTGTCTTGCTGGATCAGATCCCACAGCAACCAGATGGGCCTCAGGAGCTCACAAGCAGAGCATGATGGAGACCAGCATCATCTGTGGCATGTTCCCTGCACCTGTTAAACAGAGATTTACTGCTTCAAAGCACAGAGTTTCCTTTTAACTGTTATGGCTAATAGCAATTGATAGATTGATCCTATATGTGTCTAATCCCTTAGAGCTAGGTAAGGTGGTGAGCATCATAACATATTCTGGCAATGAATCACATAAGCTAATGATATAATGTGTGAGGAGGGACTTCCTTTTAATGCACAGAACCTCTGGGGACGGCAGTGGGGAGAAAGAGAATTCCTCTCTGTTCATTATAAAGGGTTGCTGGGATAAAGCTCTGCTTTCCCCTGGTGGATTCTTCCTCAGCAAGGCATCTACCCTAGAAACAATATTAGGTTGTGTACAAACATATACATGCCCATCCCAGTTTTTTTCCTTCAGCTGTTCTACAGCAGCTTCTCCACACAGGTGGACATCTTACCCTTTTTTATTCTTAGAGAGCTGAACGTACATTAGTCAATCAACAGCCCAGCCCTATGCATGTTTACTTGAAGATTAGTCCTGCTGTTTTCTATGGGAGTGCTTCCCTGGTAAGTGGATTTCGGACTACTGCCCAAATAATACACTCTCCCATTTTACATGCATACATACAAGCTGAATCCATTTTTAAAACATTGAAAAGGGGCTTCAGCGAGGAGTGTGTAGGTGAGTTTCCTGACACTGGTTTCCTCTGGCTTCTCTTGTAAATGGCAGAACTGGTCAACATTCAATGGTGGGAACGCCACTCAAACTATGTACAACTCAAAATACACTTAGTGATGTTTTATACCAATTTACCTAGGGCAGGCACTAGACTAAGATTCTTGTAAGTTCACCAAACCCCCTCAATCATTTTTTAAAGATTCGTATAATGAGGACAGTTTTAGTGGTAAGTGAATATATTGTTAAGGGACGCAGGTGGCGCTGTGGGTAAAACCTCAGTGCCTAGGACTTGCCGATCGTATGGTCGGCAGTTCAAATCCCCGCGGCGGGGTGAGCTCCCGTCGTTCGGTCCCAGCTCCTGCCCACCTAGCAGTTCGAAAGCACGTCAAAGTGCAAGTAGATAAATAGGGACCGCTTTATAGTGGGAAGGTAAACTGCGTTCCGTGCGCTGCGCTGGTGCTGGCTTGCCAGCTGCAGCTTCGTCACGCTGGCCACGTGACCCGGAAGTGTCTGTGGACGGCGCCGGCTCACGGCCTCTAGAGCGAGATGAGCACGCAACCCCAGAGTCGGACACGACTCGCCCATACGGGCAGGGGTACCTTTACCTTTACCTGAATATATTGTTCCACGGTTCCCCAGCTGAGTAGCTGCACAAGATTCCAGGGGTTGCAGGCATGCTGCTCGGGGTTAATACTTCCTTTGGGAATGAGGCACAATAGATGCTACAGTGTCATTTTGTTATATGCTTTATTTACACATATATGCAACCTGAGCCTATGTGCCAGCTTATAGCAGCAACAATGAGCCCAGCGCCATCCTTTCTCTGATGCCTATTTTGCACTGCAGGGCACAACCCAGCTAATGCTTCCTGATTACACCATTCCCAACTCTAACCCCATAGCCTCTCAGTTTTCGTTTTCTATCTGGGAGGAGAGGGAAGTCTCACATTTGCATTCTCACACCTATTTCCTTTGATCCTGTGTTGTGCCAACACCTAATCCTGAACTTTCTAAGTGTTTATGCCCACCAGGCAGTCACCTCACAAAGAGGTGACTTTATTACCTGTCTGACAATTTATTATTGTCTGTCTTTATTAACCATTGTTCCTTTGGCTAAGATTACAATGTCCAATACACAACACAGGAAGTGTGCCTAGGTTCATTAACTCTTCACATATGATCATTCCAGGGGATTAACAGTGGCTAACTCACATTTTAAATACACATGAGCCTGGTTATTACCAGTCCTAACATACCAGTTTTAATTAAATCATTAAGCCCAAGCATTTAGCACCCACAGATCTATAGCAATATTGTTACAGCACCTAGACAAGGTTTCCTTTTATTAGGTAGATTGCTGCTTTATTGCCCAGAATAGCGAGCTAATGGGAGCCAATGGCCATTAGCATCCCCTCACTTTCTGTGCCTGGATGCAATATGCACCAGAAATTTGGGGAGGTAACACAGAGACCCCAGCTACAGGGAGGGGATGCTATAACCAAGTATGAATGTAAAGAATGTTATAAGAAAAAAAGCTGCTCCTTTATCCCTTATGGGTATCCAAGAGCCCATACAGAGTCCTTATGTAGGTTTCTATCGGTAGGAGAAAATAACAGAGGCCAACCAGAGAGCATTGAGAAGCAAAGCAGCTATCTTTATTAAACTGTTGCAACTCCCCCCACGCAGGGATGGAGGAGAGGAACCCAGAACCCAGAACACTGGTGTGCAAGCTCTTATATAGACTTTTGAAACTGCCTACCCTTTAGCTCTAAGGGACGCAGGTGGTGCTTTGGGTTAAATCACAGAGCCTAGAACTTGCTGATCAGAAGGTCGGCGATTCGAATCCCCACGACGGGGTGAGCTCCCGTTGCTCGGTCCCAGCTCCTGCCAACCTAGCAGTTCGAAAGCACATCAAAGTGCAAGTAGATAAATAGGTATCACTCCAGCGAGAAGGTAAACGGCATTTCCGTGCACTGCTCTGGTTCACCAGAAGCGGCTTAATCATGCCGGCCACATGATCCGGAAGCTGTACGCCGGCTCCCTCGGCCAATAAAGCGGGATGAGCGCCGCAACCCCAGAGTCAACCACGACTGGACCTAATGGGCAGGGGTCCCTATAGCTCAAGACCACCCCCCAAAACATCATACATACATCACAGAAAGAGGTGGTCCCCAGCAGAAATTTGAGTGTGTTGCTTCTCTCCTGTCTGCTAGGATACCTGATAATGCCTTATCTGATTGCCTTTTCTGGGTAGCCTGGCCATTCCTTTGAGATGGTAAATATTTAGTTCCTGAATCTCTTACGCATATTGATAGTGTGCTCAGCTTAACAAATACTTGCCAGACTGTATTTACAGGGAGGTGTAAACCCTACAGTCCAAAGACAATTGGAAAGCTTTTCCCATTTCCTTCCTCCTTGCAGAGAAATATTTGAGGTCAATTTGGGAGAGTCAAAATGGCTTCAGGATTGTTACTATTTCAGACACGTGGTTTATATACTTATGTATGTGTTTGCCTTGTACATTTATGAACATTTATTTTTTATATATAAGACCTTAGAATTCCTATAACAAGAAAAAGAAGGTTTCAGTTTACAACTTCAGATCATAAAGTCCTTTTTACAGATCATTTATATTTGATGTGAGACTTAATGTTGTGTATATGAATTTATCTAAAGTCTAGCATTCAACCATTCTTAAGATAATAAAAGTCATATGACTGTTCCTTCCTCTTCTTCTTTTTCTTGAAGGCCCTGAAACAAAAGCCATGTTAAACAACAGAGGTCCTCGTTATAAACGCAGCAAAATAGAACAACGTCTGAATATTGATATATTCTTTTGCGTGGGACTGCTCTTCATCATGTGTCTCACTGGAGCACTAGGTATGGAGTAATGATGGAAACTTTTTTCCTGCATTTCAAGAAGCCTTTGCAATAGGGCTGTGCTTCACTGCTAAAATTAATAGCTTATTTTTGGTGGGCTTCCTAGATTGCTGCTGAGAGAACCAATTGCTTTCAATATGTAGCAGGGGAAAGGATTGCTTTGTAGCAATTTTACGATAATCCTGTCCTACTGCGACCACGATTTGCTGGGGTGTCAAGCTCTGATGAAAACAAGACTATTGAGCCTTCCACAAATAAATATTTGGCAGGGCATGTAAAGGTTCCTGTAATTGTATCCTGGTTTCTAAGTGGCAATACACAAGTGAGTTGCAAAACACTGCACTATGCGTTGCAAGGTTTCATAGTGAGTTTCTTTTTCCCAGCATAGAGTGCCCTGGAGAAATCTGGCATGACATGGCAGTAAGCCAGTCAATTAACCAGACTAGTACTGAAGGACCCAGAAGTGAAGAATCCTCTTCAGCTGAACAACAGCACAGATTTAATTATTATATTTTACTGTTGGTACTTCAGCTCAAAATGAGTTTCTTGGCTTAACTGACATTGCAACTTGATCGGTTTTCCGGGTGGATGGTGGATGTTCATCAGAAAAAGGAAAGGGGTTCAGTCCAGGTGGGATGAAAACGCAGGTGTCTTACAGCACAAACCTTTACAAGCCTATTCAGAAACAGGGACAGCTCAAGTTATGCTGGAGCCCTAAGCTACGTTAAATTTAAGAGGCCCCATAGCATTACCAAAAGATGTGTATTATTCTAACAGAAAGGGAAATGAAAATAGAAATAATATTTTTTATATATTTGCAAATATCCTGGTACCTACTCAAGGATGCAACTAAAAATTGACACTCTAACAAAAACACTGATCTTGCAATAGGCCATGGTTTTTTAACCAATTGTATGCAACGTGAAATAAAGTGACTCTTTCTATTTAGAGGCCCTTCATAAAATGAAGGCCCTAAACTGTAACTTTGTTAGCTTGCATATAAATAAATCCAAGCCTGCTCAGAAGTACAACACATTGCATTCAGTGAGGCTCACTCCCAGTTAAATGGGCATTGGATTGCACCCTTGCTTGTCAAAGATATTAACATGAAGTAGCATTGCTCTGTGAAGCTTCATCCCACCAGAAGTTGCCCAGATCTATTTACTCAGCTTTGCTCAGCTTTTCAGACGTACCTTTCAGTTACCAGAGAACAAGAGCAGCTTTGCCTACTTTTTTCACTTTTTAAAAATAAAAATGTTGATAATGTTTAATTTTGGGGGTTTTAATATTGCGTTTTAATACAAAGATATTTACTATATTTTGACCTGTTTTGAGGACTTTGGTCAAAAAGCAAGCTGTAGGTCTATAAAAATAAACATATGAATCACCTATTAATTTCAGACAAAATCCAGTTTCCCAACATTTATTTTCTGAATATTTTAAAATCAGAAAGAATACCTTGTTCGATGCAGGAATTGGAAGGGACCTTAAAGGCGGACTAGTCCAGTCCCCTGCTCTATGCAGGAAATACACTGCTACATCATCCGTGATCGTTTGTCTGACAGCACTCATAATAATAATAATTTATTATTTATACCCCGCCCATCTGGCTGGGTTTCCCCAGTAATAATGTCAAAGTTCCCTAGAGTGTAAATCCTTGTTTGAACCATGAAATAAAGATAGTATGAACGATTCTAGGGAGTGAACAATAGTTTCTATAATTATTGCAGAAAGTTACTTAGGGCAGAGCATTCCCACCATAAGTGGAAGTAAGTGCCTTTTGAAGCACAAGTTCTCCAACAGTTGGGACTGTAGGTTGATAGGTTGTGTGGCAGTTCTATACCATCTATGTATTGTCTTAAGAGAAGTCTCACTAACTGGTACAGAGACAGATTTAAATTATTTCTGAGACCATAACCCAGACCACACAGAATCCACTATGATTATCCATAAGTCTTCCTCCCAGTTACTTTTCAAACCTGACAAAGACCCCAACTGTGTATTTAGAAGAATTGCAAATAGCCCAAGGTGGTATCTAGAGGATATTCTACAAAGCAATGCAAATCTCCACACACACAAAGCAACCCAGCCATACCCACATTAAACTACTGTACTGCAGATTTAAATGGTCCAGTTTCTTATATGCATTCTTATTTTACTTCTGTGTGATTGCTGCTAAAGTTTGTGTTCCTACTTAACAGGTAGTATGTGAATTGAGTGATCTCCCTTGTTCCCAGTGTGCACTTTTCCAGGCTTTTTCTTTTAAAGTAGTTTGTATTTTTATGCAGGTCATGGCATTTGGAACGGGCACTTCTTAGAATACCCCTTGTTTGTCATTCCCGATATAAATGGCAGCTATCTCGCTCCAGCTCTTGCGGGTTTCTACATGTTCCTGACAATGATAATCCTCTTACAGGTGGGAAAATATTTATTGCTAATGAGGAAATAGGTTTAAGACTGAGGATTAAGTCTGATTGGGCTGGGGGCAAGGGTGCTTGCTTCCAAGTAACTCAGTGTTTCCCAACCACTGTTCCGTGGCACACTAGTGTGCCGCGAGATGTTGCCTGGTGTGTCGTGGGGAAAATTTTTTTTTTTTTGTAAAAGTCAAATTAGGTCCTAATCTATCCCTCGAGCGCCTCTTGTCCGTTATTGTGACGCATGAAGCGTGTTCCCGCCCACTCCCCGCCCTCCCTTGCTTCTCTCTCTCTCTCTGTGGCGTTCTCCGCCGCTTCCTGCTGGGCATGCGCAGCTCGCCTCGCGCTTCCATTCCGGCCCCTCCTTCCCCCGACTACCCCGCCGCTCCGTTCCTTTCTCTTTCTCGCGTGTCAGAGAGCGGTGGCGCGAGCGCGGAGGTTCCCTCAGGGCTGACGGAGGGCTTGAGGAGGAGGAGGCAGGACGTGGAGGCGGAGAAAGCGGCGGCGGCCACCCCCCACCTCCGGCCCGAGGCCCGAGGCCCGCGTAGAAAGCTGAGGGGGAGAGATAGATAGAGGTGGGCGGTGGCGGCGACCACGACCAACCGCCACAGTAGTTGTAGCAGTGGCGACGGCGAGCAGGGACTCCCGCTCTCTCTCCGTCGTGTCTCTCTCTCTCTCTCTCTCTCTCTCTCTCCCGGGCCCGTCCGTTGAGTCTCCCGCGCGCCTCGGCTACAAGATGAGCATCGAGATCCCGCCGGGTCTGACTGAGCTGCTGCAGGGCTACACGGTGGAGGTGCTGCAGCACCGGCCGCCGGACCTGCTGGCCTTCGCCGCCGAGTACTTCGCCAAGCCGCGCTCTCCTTCCTGCCTCGCTTTGCTGCCTCCTCCCCCCCACCCCCAAAGCTTGGAGGTTCCCCGGCGCCGACCCCCAGGTTTGACCCCCTTCTCACACCTGTTCGCGCTCCTTGCACGGAATGGGGCGGATGGGGAGGAACGGGGCTCGCCGCTGCCTCCGCTCGCCCTCCCCCCCTCCGCCCGCGGTCCCGCGATTCTTGGCTTTTTGGCGGTTGGCACAGAAGGAAGGCAAGGGGGAGGGGGGAAAATTGAATCTTACACTTTCGTGCGTCCCTCCCGGCGTGACGCTGTGCGCTGACGTCACGGGGCTGTAATGGTGATGTGCCTCGAGATTTTTTTCATGAAACAAGTGTGCCTTTGCCCAAAAAAGGTTGGGAAACACTGAAGTAACTGATAAGCTTATGCTGTAAACTGTGTAAATTGAGCAATGATAGTGGCTATGAGTCTGAGTGTTATCTGTGAGTCAAAGTTCTCAGATGGGCGGGGCATAACCAATAAATTAATAAAAATTATTCTATTTCTTCATCTCAGCCATTAACTCAACAGCCTTGGACAAACCTGTCCCTCTCTTTCTTTCTTTCTTTCTCTCTCTGTCTCTCCCTCCCAGCTTCCCCCTCCCATCTTGGGGAGAGGGGAGTGAAATACCAGGGGTCAGCAGACTTTTTCAGTCTGTCCCTCAGACCTTGTGGGGGACAGGACTATATTTTGGGGGGGGAAATAACCCAGAGATGCATTTTAAATAAAAGCACACATTCTACTCATGTAAAAACACCAGGCAGAACACAAATAACCCATAGATGCATATTAAATAAAAGGACACATTCTACTCATGTAAAAACATACTGATTCCCAGACCGTCCGCGGGCCGGATTTAGAAGGCGATTGGGCCGGATCCAGCCCCCAGGCCTTAATTTGCCTACCCATGTACCAGCCCATCTCACTGTAAGCATCACTGAAGTAATCATATGAAGCAGTTTGAGCATGCAAAAGTACTATATAAATTCTCTCTTACTTTTCCAGCAGACAGAACATTATTAGGGACTGAGAGGAATGTTTCGGTGTTAGCATTAATCCTCCCAGCGGCATCCTGCGATATTACTGCAGGACTTTAGAACATTGCTGTAGACTATTTGGCTTCTCCTTGTTTATAGGAAATATTCTTCCTGTCTCCCTTTATATACTAGAAACCTAATATATAAAACAAATGACCCAACCAGACATTGCTTTGGGAGCCCCATGATCAGATATTCTGTGTTGCTACTTTTTCAAAAGGCTGAAGTAGTGTACATGGGTGAGGAGAATCAGATCACAGCTGCCCCACCAAGAGAGGAGGTTGTTGTTTTTACCTGTTCCACTGTAGCCTTTTCTCCGTTCAGATCACATCATCACTGAGCTGCTGTTTGCTTTGTGGAGCAAAACATGCAGGTTTCATGTGGGTAGCAGTAGCTTCTGCCCTTTGGAGCAGATATAGCTCCAAGGACCAAATCTGGACTGAAGAGAAAGCACAAAAGGAAAGACCAGATGTTAGATTCACACTAGGACTTATCAAGTCACTCACCACAGCTTCTCTCAGCCCATTTAAAGCTTTTAGATAAATATAACACTGGTCTGAAGGTTGGGGGATTTTCCATAGTGGCATTTGATATGATGCAAAGGCAGAAGCCAGATAGAGGAAATGTAGGGTTGCCATATTCCCCAAAGTTCAACAAAACCGGCTAAAGAAAAAATAACTAATTCTCACAACACTAAATAATAACACTGAATATCAGTATCGGTGTAGGGATAAATTGGGATTGAGATGTGTCCAGATAAGTGATATTTGAGGCCCATGTGAGAGATAAGAAAAAGACATTTATTTTCCATTTTATTGTAGTAGCTGATGGAATGTATGTAAATAAACAAACACACATATAAATAAATAAGGTTATGAATGACAAACAACCTTCTGAGCTGTTTTTAAAACTCCAAAGGGAAGCTATATTTTACATTAGAAATGTAACTGAGCCCATTCAGCAAGGGCGGGGAGGGAGAGATGACATATTTTGTTTTTCATAACAAATACGAGCAATGTAAGCTTGTCCTTACAGACTGTGTTTAAGATGAATATTAGCTTTCCAGAAGATACCTCTGGGAGTTTGACCTCATATACAGTTAATATGTCTGTGTATTATTACCACATGAATACTGCATGTCTATTTCCTATATTTATAGGTCACCCCATAGCAAAAAGCTCTCCAAATTAGGAAGATGTAAAGGCTGTAGCAAAATTTGAAACATCTAGAAAAACAAACATGTACTTTCCAGGTGTTCAAGGGCATGAAAGTAGGCACCAAATAGGTTTCCCAGAGGAGGGCATTCTACCACTGGGTAGCCACTCCTGAAAAGCCTCTTTCACTCATTACCAGGTGCCACACCTCACATGTTCCTCTGACAAGTCAATAGGTTTATTGTTCTAGTTGACGGTCATGACACATTCCTCTCATGACAGTCTCTGGGTACATGTCGAAAGAGGCAACCCTTCAGATGTTGTGGTCCCAAACTGTGAAGGGTTCTGAAGGTTGAAGCCAGGCTTTTGGAGTGAGCCTGGAAACAGACTGAAGACTAATCCACACTTCTTGTCCCGTACCTAGAAAGAACAAGTCTGAGCAGTTGTCTCCTTGTCCCACTCCTTTCCAAGGAAAAGCCAACTGCTACACTCTTGTATGAAAAGTTTTTCTGGCTATGGCTGACTTCTGTTGCATAGTCATGCATCCTTGTCCTGTAGTATGAATCTCTTGGCAGTACATCACTCCTCTATAAAGGTGGAAAGTTATTTGGTTCTCAGTAGCAGTTCATTTCAATGTCCAAATCTCTTTTGTTCTGTTTAGCTAGCGTCTGGCGATCCAAATGCTTTAGGAGCACAACCAGTGCATTCACTGTGGAGTCTAGACAGCAATGAGAAAATGTGCAGGCATTTTTGCTGTCAACTTTTATCTCCTGGGTTTTTTAGTTAGTTCCCTCCAGGAAGTCTTGTTAGAGCAGCCAGCATGAAATCTTGCTTCCAACGAATTTCTAACATTCTGGGCAATGTTCTCTTTCAGATTTTGATCCCCATTTCCCTCTATGTATCCATTGAACTAGTCAAGCTAGGTCAAGTCTTCTTGATTCATAATGATATCGACCTGTACAATGAAGAGCTAGACTTACCCATACAGTGTCGAGCACTAAATATCACTGAAGACCTGGGGCAAATCCAGTACATATTCTCTGACAAAACAGGGACCCTGACGGAGAATAAGATGGTGTTTCGACGTTGTACAATTGATGGGAGAGAATTCTCACATCAGGAAAATGGTAAGACGTGTACTGTCTCTATAACCCTGGGCTACATTGAATGTGAAACATGGTCTTTCTGCCATATAATCTGGAAGTTGCTTTGGAAGACAGAGGATCTTAGCTTCCTTCCCCCTTTAAAAGCCATGTTTAGCACATACAGATGTAAAGAAACTTTATGAGAGCCAGTGTGGTGTAGCAGTAGACTCGTAATCTGGTGACCAGGGTTCGCGTCTCCGCTCCTCCACATGCAGCTGCTGGGTGACCTTGGGCTAGTCACACTTCTCTGAAGTCTCTCAGCCCCACTCACCTCACAGAGTGTTTGCTGTGGGGGAGGAAGGGAAAGGAGAATGTTAGCCGCTTTGAGACTCCTTCAGGTAGTGATAAAGCGGGATATCAAATCCAAACTCCTCCTGAGCAGTTTTACCTGTATCCCCCAGCAGCCACTGAGGAGGTGGGAGATGTAGACTGCATAACCAGGCCATTTGAAGGGGATTTGTGCCCACCTGTCTATAGGTAGGGAGGCTGGGTCACATAGTACAGCCATCTGGAAGCAGAGGAGCCTCCAGCAATTGGAACCTTTGTGACCCATTTCTTCAACTTTCCATTGCTGCTCTATGACAACCTCTAAGGTACAAGCAAACTCCCACCTTCCCCTTTGCCCGCTCTCCAGCTATATGCAGGGCTATGTAGGAGTATGAGTACTAGATAGCCCTGTTCCCAGCCTGAATTTTATGCATGAAATGAGTGGGGGAAGCAAGTCCAGGATGCCAGAGACAAAGGTGCTTAGGCTGTTGTGTGTTTCCTTGTTTCATTGAGATCCTTGCTTTATTTATTATATATCCTGCTTTTATTCCAAGCAGCTCAAGATGGCATACATTCTTCTCCCCCTCATCTTTTTCTCCTTCCAACAATCCTATGAGGGAGGTGAGGCTGGGAGCTGGCGGTGGGTCCAAGGTTCACATCTGAGTGGGGATTTGCATCCTCCTCTACCAGAACCAAGTCCAACTCTTCAACCACTACACTACATTGACCTGGGCAAGAGCTCTGCTTGTGCACTGCTCCTACACATTATGCTCATGCACATGCTGAAACTCTGCACTTTGTCCTCCATTGGTGAGGACGGAATCATGGCCTTGAAACCTTCAGGGGGTCTGGTTTGAGGAGGTCTGCATGAAGTTGGACAGAAGTATTGTCTGAGAGTCCCTTCAGATAATGATGGGGATAATGCAGCACATTTATTTTATCTCTTATAGCCAAGAGACTTGAAACGTACAAGGAGTTGGATTCAGATACTGAAGACTGTGTGAAACATTTGAGTCTACCTCCAAACAATGGTGGAGAAATTCTCAGGCGGAACAGCACTGCTAAGCCCTTGAGGAGGTGGCAGAGTGCTCGGGCTCGGTTTCAGGGACACACAAGGCAGAGATCTCTGGGCGGCATCTCTCAGTCTCAAGTGGCATTTAGCAGTACCATTGTAAGTAAGACCTTTCGCTCCTTTTAATTATAAAGTCTTTAGTAATAGATCAGAACAAATGGCAATCTGGAGAAAACTGGTATTGCCTTTTGTTCCAATTGAGCGCTAAAGAGCAGTTTCCCCAGCGGAGAGGCAGCAAGACAAAAGGAAGTGTGAATAAGCCCTAAGCTCCAGCTAAAATACACACACAACGACAACAGACTAAATATTTTTAAAGCATAACAGCAGTAACCAGTTTTCCTTTGTGGTGTGTGCTTCTTTTTTTAAAAAAATGCACACTAGCAGATTGTACAGGCTGCGTTCAAATGTTCGTCATGGTTTCTATAAATACTAAGCAAAACATTGATTCATGCTAAAAGACACCATGTTCATACCCCCCCCCCAAAGGTTCGTGCAGTACAGTTTATGGGTTTTGCTTACGAAATTTCAGGTTTCCTAGCGCTATGTGCAAGGCATAAAAAGTGGTAGCCTCAGGTAGAATGACAATGGAAGAATTTAACACTGCTGAGAAGATGCAGTAGTTCCTGACTAAAGGTCAGTACAACATCTCCTGCAAACACCTGCCTCTTAAGCCTATTGCCAAGAAATCTGATAAGCGGCAAACCGGCACATCTGATGTTGAGGTTTAATAGAAAGCGTTTGCACTAGCAGCTGTCAAAGGAATCGCCGAAATTAAATCCAGACTTTTTAAAAGAAAAACTTTGAGGCAACAGTCCTGATCCAGATGCTTGTGGGCAGATCTGCACAGGCAATTGTGACCCCTTCTTTCTCACTTAGCCATAAGAGATTTTCAAAGCTCCCTTGTGTTGGGGATTGAAAAAGTGAGAGAAATTACCCTTGCATGCATTCGGACTGAACTCTCCCATGCCTGCTCAAAGGAGCTTCCCAAATTGGCCACATTCCACAAGTCAAGTCCTGCTTACGTTCACCTTGGTTGACAAGGATGCCAGTCTCCACTGCTGTAGTTCCCCTTCTGGCCCTAGTACTTATAAGGTCTTCTGCCAGGCCAGGGGTCAGTGTCGTCAGACATCTGCTAATGTTTTGACACACCAAGGCTGACAGGACCTTCTAGCTGTCACAGCCAGATGAGTGGCAGTGAGGCACCAGTGATGCTGCCAGCAACCCTAACCAGAGGGAGGCACCAGCGTCAGGCAGCAAAGGCTGGGATATGGTAAAGAGAAGCAAAGTCTTGACATTACATGCATTATTCAACCTGCCCTGAACCCCCTAAGGTAGCCTGTGCTGCCCTCAGGTGTGGTGGAGGATGCCATGAGACTGAAAGCTGGTCTGGACATCCTCTGTAGGGAATTGGGGAGGGGGCATCTTATCCTTTGCCTCAGGTGGCAAAAAGCCTTGGGTGGGCCATGGGCCTAACTTCCTTCTCACAATCCCTGTCATTTCTCTGACTCTTTAGTACCCGCTGGTTTTGAAGCTGATAATAACGCTGTGATTCTGTACGCGCAATGTTCTTTGAAACTCTAGAACACCCAGCAGAAGGTTGTTTTTTCGCACAATCCTAACAATGTGAAGATTTTTTTTTTAACTGAGTAACATGTATTCCAGGAGAAGGACGTGACCCCAGATAACAGGCTGCTGATGAAAGTGAGAAATGCATCGTGCCAGATTGAACCTTTGACACCATTTATGTTTGCAAAGACCACCTCCTCCATTACAGACTTTTTTCTTGCTCTGACCCTCTGCAACACTGTTGTGGTCTCCACAGCAACCGATCCAAGACAAAGGGTAATCTCTCACTTTAACGTCTCTTTTAGGAAATGAGTTGAATTTAATAAAAGACTTGAGAGCTTTATGATGACAACTTACTTGGGGAGGTAAAAAAAAGTCTGCTTTTGGGGGAAAGGTAAAAAAAAAAGTCCGCTTAAGGGTAGGGGGGTTTCCCCTTTAGTCTGCAATAATTCTGCAGAATCCTCGCTCTGTCTCCCTTCGTATTTCCTACCTAACAACTTATCCTCATGTCCCTAAGGAATATGCTAATTTGAAAGTGAAATAGTATTCCCCTATATTTCTTGATTATTTCTTGATTAAATGATTAAAGCCTTAATTGCAGCTTCTAAATGCATTCCATTTCATCAGGATAGTTGCTTCCTTTGTAAAACAGATTTTATTTTTTGTTATGAGCTTCTGAAAAAACACTCTTGCTTGAGCCAAGGCGTATGGAGCTCAACCTCCTCCTCCTCCATATGACCCCAGTGCCACCCACTTGTTTTCATGCCTTGCAAAAGGAGGTTCTGAATGTTATGAATAAGCCATAGATACCCATTAGAAGGGTATGTTATGTTTTAAATTATGCCTGAAAGGCACAGGGTGGTTGGGTGGGTGGGTGGGTGGGTGGGTGGATAATCATAACTCAGAAATCACTAGTTTAAACACACAACCCCAGGACTTTCAGCAGGGTCCCCTAAGCCTCAGTGTAGCCTTTGGGGACTGGGGGCTGCCATGAGGATAACAGGAAGGGAACGTCAGCTTCCTCCAGCCTCATCACACACCCCAAGCTCAGAATCCAGCCCAATGAATGGGAGCCTTTTGCCTCTTTTCTTTTCTTAAATTCTTTGTGAACACATAATGGAAGAATAGCTGTTGCCTTCATTTAGGATCACCAGAAAAAGCACTATTAATATATGCAAATTGATTAATTAACTGAGTAACTAGTTAAAAGTGAGGCAATTCACTGATTTGAAATAGATTGGTTGACAGCCTTGTTTTTATATATGGCAGGGTTCTCAAAGGTACATGTTGCTGTTTAATTATCTCTGTACCTTTGCTCATTGTAAGGAGTTTCAGTCTTTATCTCCTTCTCTGATACTAAGAATATAAACCAAACAAACAAACAAAACCCATCTTAAATCTAGATGCTCCCTTAAGGAGCCCTCATTGTACCTAGAGACATCACCTGACGCATACATCTTTGTCGTATGGTGATAGCAGTGTTCTACTGGTTAGAAAATGCCCCCCTTGTGTTGTAGTACATAATTTCAGCTATAATTAATCCTGATTCCCTCTTTTCTTTCAAGGTTACCATTCCGTCACCGATGAAACCATCAGCACTATCCCTGGAGAAAATTCACCAGCTGTTCCAGCGTCTAAAGCTGGCAAGCCTCAGCCAGTCTCTTTCATCAGCTCAGTCAAATTCAGACTTAGGAGAGAGTTTGACTACAGAAACCACCAGAGTCTGTGCTGACTCTGAAACAAAAGATTATTTTTCTTCTCAGAGCTGTTCCACTTTAGCAGATGATTACAGTTTTAGAAGAGATTCAATCACTGAGAAAGACACCTTTGGGGACAGCGATCCCACTCCAGCGGAGATCTGTGGGGCAGCATACCAGGGAGCTTCCCAAGTAGAGTTTTGTTATGAGGCTGAAAGCCCAGATGAAGCTGCCCTTGTCCATGCAGCCCGGGCTTACCAGTTTACATTAGTGTCCAGGACTGCTGAACAAGTGACTGTGAGGCTGCCAGAGGGCACCCTCCTGACCTTTGACCTCTTGTTCACTTTGGGATTTGACTCCAACAGAAAAAGAATGTCGGTGGTGGTGAGGCATCCCCATACTGGCGAGATAATTGTCTACACCAAAGGGGCTGACTCTGTCATAATGGACTTGTTGGAAGAACCTTCCAGAGGTAATTTTTTGCATTCGCCAAGAAACTATCTATTGAGAATGTGTAGCCTAGGTTGCATGAAATATAGATTCCGTCTACAAAACTACAATTGAAGCAAAAGTGTTAACCAGGCAAAACATAGTGCAGAGAGAGCCCGGGGGCCAGATCTGGCCCAATCGCCTTCTAAATCTGGCCCACAGACGGTCCGAGAATCAGCGTGTTTTTACATGAGTAGAATGTGTCCTTTTATTTAAAATGCATCTCTGGGTTATTTGTGGGGCAAAAAATTCATTCATTATTATTTTTTCAAAATATAGTCCAGCCCACCACAAGGTCTGAGGCATGGTGGACCGGCCCCCTGCTGGAAAAGTGTGCTGACCCCTGGTGTATAACATGTAGAGCAGCCTAATTGGGAAGCCAAAATGAATAGGCTTTATGAGATCTGCAATAATACTACAATTATCTTGCACACCGTGATGCTCTAACTATTGGGCCAGATAGGCAGTGACATCCAGACTTGCCCTTGCCCTGCAGCTCCCCCCTTGAGAAACCAGTTCTTTACTGCTGCACTGGAGCAAATGTCAATTGGGTTTTCTCCAGATTGACTTTCGCTTCAGACTGGGTTTTCTCCATATTGACTTATCAGTAAAGAGCGGGTTTTCCTGGGGAAAGCAGTGGGGCAAGGGCAGAACTGATTGAAGCATGGACAAGTGGAAAACTACTCAGACTCATGCTTTCTAGTGATGGGACAAGCAGAAGTTTAGACAAGTCCTATATAGCAGTGAGATGTCAACTATAGTGATCCCAGGCTAGAGAAAATCAAGTACACTAAAGTCCCTCTACAATTAAGTGCTGAAAGGGTGATTTCAACAGGACTTAATGCTGCACTATATGGAATCATAGAATTGTAGTGTGGAAGGGATCCTGAGGGATCTCACTGGAGCATGTTCCAGCTCTAAGCCTTGCCTTTCCCCCTATGATTCATGCGGGTTGTAAGATAGAAATTGGTTTTCGTGGACTACAACTCCCATCGTCCCTGACCATTGGCCATGCTGGCTGGGGCTGATGGGATTTGGAGTCTGACAACATATGGAGTGTTACATCCCTGCTGTAATACTTGCTTATTTTAAAGTTTCACAAGTTCTGTGTACCTGCTTATCCAGTCATTCATTGCTTTTTTAGTTACAAAAACTGGAAAAGATTTTTTGTTACATTGTTCCAGGAGTTGAGGTGAAAAAAGCTTCTTTTAGCATTATGGATGCCAGCAAATCAGTGTCAATCAATGACCATTTCTGCTGTGATAGATAGATGATAGATAGATAGATTAGATAGATAGACAGACAGATAGACAGATAGATAGATAGATAGATAGATAGATAGATAGATAGATGATAGATAGATGATAGATAGATAGATAGATAGATAGATGATAGATAGATAGATAGATAGATAGATAGATAGATAGATAGATGGATGATAGATAGATGATAGATAGATAGATAGATGATAGATGATAGATAGATAGATAGATAGATGATAGATAGATGATAGATAGATAGATAGATAGATAGATAGATAGATAGATGATAGATAGATGATAGATAGATAGATAGATAGATAGATAGATAGATAGATAGATAGATAGATAGATAGATAGATAGATAGATAGATAGATAGATAGATAGATAGATAGATAGATAGATAGATAGATAGATAGATAGATAGATAGATAGATAGATAGATAGATAGATAGATGATAGATAGATGATAGATAGATAGATGATAGATAGATAGATGATAGATAGATAGATAGATGATAGATAGATGATAGATAGATGATAGATAGATAGATAGATAGATAGATAGATAGATAGATGATAGATAGATGATAGATAGATGATAGATAGATAGATAGATAGATAGATAGATAGATAGATAGATAGATGATAGATAGATAGATGATAGATAGATAGTGTCAGGGAACTGCCATCGAGGAACCGGTGGCGGAAGGGCTCAAGCAGGCTGGGAGAGACTCAGCAGCTGAAGAAGGAACCAGCAGGGGGAGAGGGGGTCTCTGGTGGAGGGGCTCACGCAGGCTGGGAGAGACTCAGCAGCTGAAGCAGGAACCAGCAGGGGGAGAGGTGGATCTCTGAGGGAAAGCGAGCAGGAGGGAGGGCTCAGGGACACGTCCAGCGAGAACAGTGGGGAGGTATCTGAAGCTCCATAGGGAGACCCACTCCTCGCCGGAAACTGTCACGCCGTGAGTCCAGAAGACGTGTTTCCGTTAAGGAGCCTTATGCTGGAAACGATTCCGAAAGCAACCACTGTCGGAATCTGCAAGTGACTAGAGCAGCCATGTCTGAGGGGCTCTGTCACAGACAGAAGTTTGTGGGCTTGAACAAACTCTGAGGGACTACGATTTTACGCACAAGCAGCTCATCATCCCATCACAGATAAATAGATAGGTAGATAGATAGATAGATAGATAGATAGATAGATAGATGATAGATAGATGATAGATAGATAGATGATAGATAGATAGATAGATAGATAGATAGATAGATAGAGATAGATAGATAGATAGATAGATAGATAGATGATAGATAGATATAGATAGATAGATAGATAGATAGATAGATAGATAGATAGATAGATATAGATAGATATTAGATAGATATAGATAGATAGATAGATAGATAGATATAGATAGATAGATAGATAGATGATAGATAGATGATAGATAGATGATAGATAGATAGATGATAGATAGATGATAGATAGATAGATGATAGAGATAGATAGATAGATATAGATAGATAGATAGATGATAGATGATAGATAGATAGATAGATAGATGATAGATGATAGATAGATAGATATAGATAGATAGATGATTAGATAGATAGATAGATAGATAGATAGATAGATAGATTGATAGATAGATGATAGATAGATGAAATAGATAGATATGATGATAGATAGATAGATGATAGATAGATGATAGATAGATAGATAGATATGATAGATAGATGATAGATAGATGATAGATAGATGATAGATAGATAGATAGATAGATAGATGATGATAGATAGATAAATGATAGATAGATAGATAGATAGATAGATAGATAGATGATAGATAGATAGATAGATAGATAGATAGATAGATAGATAGATAGATAGATAGGATAGATGATAGATAGATAGATAGATAGATAGATAGATAGATAGATAAGATAGATCGAATAGATAGATACGATAGATAGATAGATAGATTAGATGATAGATAGATGATATGATAGATAGATGATAGATGATAGATGATAGATAGATAGATAGATGATAGATAGATAGATAGATAGATAGATAAGATCAGATAGATAGATAGATAGTATAGCATAGATAGATAGATGATAGATGATAGATAGATAGATAGATGATAGATAGATAGATAGATAGATAGATAGATAGCTAGATAGATGATAGATAGATGAATAGATAGTAGATAGATAGATGACTAGATAGATAGATGATAGATAGATAGATGATAGATAGATGATAGATAGATGAGAATGATAGATAGATAGATAGATAGATGATAGATAGATGATAGATAGATAGATAAGTAGATAGATAGATAGATAGATAGTGATAGATAGATAGAATTGATAGATAGATAGTGTCAGGGACTGCCATCGAGGAACCGGTGGCGGAAGGGCTCAAGCAGGCTGGGAGAGACTCAGCAGCTGAAGAAGGAACCAGCAGGGGGAGAGGTGGATCTCTGAGGGAAAGCGAGCAGGAGGGAGGGCTCAGGGACACGTCCAGCGAGAACAGTGGGGAGGTATCTGAAGCTCCCATAGGGAGACCCACTCCCGCCGGAAACTGTCACGCCGTGAGTCCAGAAGACGTGTTTCCGTTAAGGAGCCTTTATGCTGGAAACGATTCCGAAAGCAACCACTGTCGGAATCTGCAAGTGACTAGAGCAGCCATGTCTGAGGGGCTCTGTCACAGACAGAAGTTTGTGGGCTTGAACAAACTCTGAGGGACTACGATTTTACGCACAAGCAGCTCATCATCCCATCACAGATAAATAGATAGGTAGATAGATAGATAGATAGATAGATAGATAGATAGATAGATAGATAGATGATAGATAGATGATAGATAGATAGATGATAGATAGATAGATAGATAGATAGATAGATAGATAGAGATAGATAGATAGATAGATAGATAGATAGATGATAGATAGATAGATAGATAGATGATAGATAGATAGATGATAGATAGATAGATATAGATAGATGATAGATAGATAGATAGATAGATAGATAGATAGATAGATAGATGATAGATAGATGATAGATAGATGATAGATAGATAGATGATAGATAGATGATAGATAGATAGATGATAGAGATAGATAGATAGATATAGATAGATAGATAGATAGATAGATAGATAGATAGATAGATAGATAGATAGATGATAGATGATAGATAGATAGATATAGATAGATAGATGATAGATAGATAGATAGATAGATAGATAGATAGATAGATGATAGATAGATGATAGATAGATGATAGATAGATAGATGATAGATGATAGATAGATAGATAGATAGATAGATGATAGATAGATAGATAGATAGATAGATAGATGATAGATAGATGATAGATAGATGATAGATAGATAGATAGATAGATAGATAGATGATGATAGATAGATAGATGATAGATAGATAGATAGATAGATAGATAGATAGATGATAGATAGATAGATAGATGATAGATAGATAGATAGATAGATAGATAGATAGATAGATAGATAGATGATGATAGATAGATAGATGATAGATAGATAGATAGATAGATAGATAGATAGATAGATAGATAGATAGATAGATAGATGATAGATAGATGATAGATAGATGATAGATAGATAGATGATAGATGATAGATAGATAGATAGATAGATAGATGATAGATAGATAGATAGATAGATAGATAGATAGATAGATAGATAGATGATAGATAGATGATAGATAGATAGATAGATGATAGATAGATAGATAGATGATAGATAGATAGATAGATAGATAGATAGATAGATAGATAGATAGATAGATAGATGATAGATAGATGATAGATAGATAGATAGATAGATGATAGATAGATAGATGATAGATAGATAGATGATAGATAGATGATAGATAGATGATAGATAGATAGATAGATAGATAGATGATAGATAGATGATAGATAGATAGATAGATAGATAGATAGATAGATAGATAGATGATAGATAGATAGATGATAGATAGATAGTGTCAGGGAACTGCCATCGGAGGAACCGGTGGCGGAAGGGCTCAAGCAGGCTGGGAGAGACTCAGCAGCTGAAGAAGGAACCAGCAGGGGGAGAGGTGGATCTCTGAGGGAAAGCGAGCAGGAGGGAGGGCTCAGGGACACGTCCAGCGAGAACAGTGGGGAGGTATCTGAAGCTCCCATAGGGAGACCCACTCCTCGCCGGAAACTGTCACGCCGTGAGTCCAGAAGACGTGTTTCCGTTAAGGAGCCTTTATGCTGGAAACGATTCCGAAAGCAACCACTGTCGGAATCTGCAAAGTGACTAGAGCAGCCATGTCTGAGGGGCTCTGTCACAGACAGAAGTTTGTGGGCTTGAACAAACTCTGAGGGACTACGATTTTACGCACAAGCAGCTCATCATCCCATCACAGATAAATAGATAGGTAGATAGATAGATAGATAGATAGATAGATAGATAGATAGATAGATGATAGATAGATGATAGATAGATAGATGATAGATAGATAGATAGATAGATAGATAGATAGATAGATAGAGATAGATAGATAGATAGATGATAGATAGATAGATGATAGATAGATAGATATAGATAGATAGATGATAGATAGATAGATAGATAGATAGATAGATAGATAGATAGATGATAGATAGATGATAGATAGATGATAGATAGATAGATGATAGATAGATGATAGATAGATAGATGATAGAGATAGATAGATAGATAGATATAGATAGATAGATAGATAGATAGATAGATAGATAGATAGATAGATGATAGATGATAGATAGATAGATATAGATAGATAGATGATAGATAGATAGATAGATAGATAGATGATAGATAGATGATAGATAGATGATAGATAGATGATAGATAGATGATAGATAGATGATAGATAGATAGATGATAGAGATAGATAGATAGATAGATATAGATAGATAGATAGATAGATGATAGATAGATAGATAGATAGATGATAGATGATAGATAGATAGATATAGATAGATAGATGATAGATAGATAGATAGATAGATAGATAGATAGATGATAGATAGATGATAGATAGATGATAGATAGATAGATGATAGATAGATGATAGATAGATAGATGATAGAGATAGATAGATAGATAGATAGATATAGATAGATAGATAGATAGATAGATAGATAGATGATAGATGATAGGTAGATAGATAAATAGATAGATAGATAGATAGATAGATAGATAGATAGATAGATAGATAGATATAGATAGATGATAGATAGATAGATGTCTTCTAAGAACTCGGCCCTAAGAGGAAAGTGATATTTGGGTTGAGCACAGTAGGGGGTCTTCTAAAGCAGCTCTGCTGCTCTAACAACACATGACATTTATGCACCAGCGACAACACACTTCACATTTATGGGCTTGGAAGAGATCCTTGTAATATTAACATGCTTCTACAGGTGTGAGATGGTGATTTGGCATAATCTGTAACTGGAATGAGCATCAATCTGCTTGTGTTTCACAGCTAACCTAGCCATGGAAAAGAAAATAAGAAAAGTCAGAGATCAAACACAGAAACATTTAGATTTCTATGCACGAGATGGTCTGAGAACTCTATGCATCGCTAAGAAGGTAAGCAAAATATTATTATTTTTTATTTCCTTCGTCTGAACAATCTTACTAAAAGGGGCAATACTCTACAGAACCAATGCTCTGCTTCTGCTCTTCTTATGACTCTTTCCAGACTGCTTTTAGAAATCCCTAATCAAATAAATATTCTCTTTCATGTAGCTTTCTGTACTCCTCCTATGCTGATTAATCATGATATAAATGGCCTGAAACCTGCAGCTTCTTTCTGCTTTATTAGAGTAGCAGTGAAGAATTCCCATCACCGCTTGTGTAAGCATTCCAAGGCTGCTCCAAAGATCATCATTTGTGGATTATGGTCTGGAGCCAATGAGCTGGAAGAAGGGAAGGGTTGTTTAGGTTTTAATGTTCCTATTAACATTTCACATTATCTTGAAATGGGTGTTTGGTGGGGGGAGGAGAAGCTGCTCATCATGACACAGAAGTCAGTTTGCATCTCATTCTTAGAATTATTTCAGGCATTGCGTTAAACCATGATTTGCAGTAACTATAGTTCAGACTTGAAACCATTATTTGCATTCCCATCATAGTCCCACAAGTCTGTACAGCTTCCTTTTTCTCCCACACTGTCTAGACGTCAGGACAACATCCCAAGCCACAGTGGCATAGCGTGGGAGGTGCAGGGGGGGCCGGCCGCACCGGGCGCAACATCTGGGGGTTAGGGTTAGGGGGTGCAAATCTACGGGTTAGGGGGTGCAAATCCACGGGTTAGGGGGTGCAAATTACTTGCCTTGCCCCGGGTGCTGACAACCCACGCTACGCCACTGGCAGTGTTCAGTGTTCAGTGGGACCAACATCCAGATGGATATAGGATTGCAATTTACTCACTGAGGCACACTTCTTAGTAAACATGCTGAGTTTAATGAGATTTACTCCCAAGGAAATGTGCTTGAACCTTAAACTGCAATCCTATATCATGTTGCTTGTTGGCTGTGGTGCTTTGTGGCACTGCACCCTGGTTCAGCCAGTCCAGAACACTCCGGTCTGTTGACTAAGCTAAATGTCAGATAGAAACATTTGTGTTTGAAACATTTACTTCAAACAATCCAACACACTGCAGGAACCTAATGTCTTTGCCATCTGTAATTGTGAGCATGTGTTGTACTAGGTCCTGAGTGAAGATGACTTTCAGATATGGGCCAACTTTCGTCGTGAGGCAGAAATGGCTATTGACAACAGAGATGAGCTACTCATGCAGACTGCGCAACATCTGGAGACGAAACTCACATTACTAGGTAACTTTTAAAACAATTCATTACACACTAGAGTGTAATGATATATCCTTGGCAACTTAAAGGGATGAATTGCCTGTATCCAATCATAAACACATTTACTTGGAAGTGAGTCACAATTTAAAAACTAGCCTCAGCCTTTGAAATGAAGTTCACATTGCAGTCTATGACAAATTTCATCTTCAATATCTTCCTGCATAGATTTGCAAATTAAATAAGGCAGGTGTGGAAAACCTGTTGCCCTCACGATGTAACTGGATGCCAACTCCCATCAGCCCAACCAGTGTAGCCAATGGTCAGGGATGATGGGAGTTATAACCAAGCAATACAGTGGTACCTCGGGTTACATACGCTTCAGGTTACATACGCTTCAGGTTACAGACTCCGCTAACCCAGAAATAGTACCTCAGGTTAAGAACTTTGCTTCAGGATGAGAACAAAAATCACACGGCGGCGGCAGCGGGAGGCCCCATTAGCTAAAGTGGTGCTTCAGGTTGAGAACAGTTTCAGGTTAAGAACGGACCTCCGGAACGAATTAAGTACATAACCAGAGGTACCACTGTATCTGGAAGGCCACTGGTTCCCCAACCCTGATGTAACAACATACAAAGCACACCTATACTTATGTATGTAGATAGAAACAGTACCTACAAGCTTGCCAGTGAGTTCATGATGTGAAATATATGCTTGATCCATGAATACATTATCTTGCCTATAAGCAAAACCGCAATCATCTTAGGCGAACCTTCTGTCCTATTTCATTCACCATTTTGCTGTTTTGAGCTAGAGTTTTGAAAGGATGCAATAGCATTTCCTACAAACTCAGTTAAGATTGTCTTATCTGATCCATTTCCACTGTATATGTATGCATGTTGTACATTTAAACACCTACAGTTGCAGAGTCTTAACTTACACTATAAGTTTTTTCCTCAGTTATGCATTGTAAAATTAGAACATTTTGTGTGCTTTGCAGAAGTAATTTATTACTTTAATTGTAATGTACAAAATGAGGTTCACAGAACTTACTTGCCTACAGTTCTAAGTGATGTTGCTGGTCAGAGCCAGCCCTATCATTAGGCAGAGCAAAGCAGCTACTTCAGGCAGCAGGGGATAGGGATGGGGAGCAGCAGCAATATGTTGGAGAACAGAGCAGTGTGCACCATGTGGCCTCCACTACAACACACACCCCAGCCTGTTGTCCACAGGTGCAGTAGAGGATGCCGTCCCAACTACCAATCCCATCAATTTCTCTGCATAGAGTTGGAGAAGGGTGTCCACTTGTCATCTGCCTCAGGTAGCAAAATGTCTTGGACTGACCCTGCTGCTGGAGCTTCTTCCTTCTCCACTTCTATGTGATGTATGAACTAGAAAATGTAGTCTATGTGCCACTGGAACAGAGAGTATTCTAAGCAGAGCTTTAGAGTTATAAATAACTACATCCTTTAGAAGTAAAGTTAATGACGTAGTTTAACTACCAAAAAATTGTTAGTTTGCTTTAAGTCAGTCTTCTGGGTCATTGTGCCCCAAATGCCCACAGCGTGAAACAGTGTCATTTGAGTGCATGCTACAGTGCATATGTGCTGCACACCATGCCTTGATGCCTTTGTCTCTATACTACAGAAACAAGAATTTAGGAAGCATTACATTATCAGAAAAACAAGTAGGAGTACAGACCAGACAATGCAAGGCCCTTGCGCCTGTATAAATCTCTACTGCCTCTGCCACCTTTTAGCCATCCATGCTCTAAGCAATAATTTGCTTTTTAATATTCAATATTTATTGTATTGATTTCCATTCCTGACCTCAGGCAAACATACAAATTGTGGCAATATTCACTCAGATTTCTATTTCCAGAAGAACTCTCAGATTTCCCTGTCTTCAGGAAAGGGCAACTTCATTTGGAGTTAAGTTAGTTGTAATAAAGCACATGAAAAAGTCAGACCTATCTCAGCTCTCATTTATCACTGCAAATAATCTAATACTGACCTCTGGCAGAAGAGATGCTATTGCTCTCTCAGTCATTAATTACCTTTAGCATTCATTTAGCCTTCTTACCTTAGTTTTTGAGCATCTCAAACAAAGAAATGTAATATAACCTCCCTATTTTCTTTAATGTGAAAAGGAGCTGATCTGTTTAGTGAATTAAAAGGGTCAATGTTCAGTTCAGTTTTGTATCTTTCTTGTGATGCTATGACATCTTTAAAGACATAGGTTATGATCTGGTGATTATGAGCAGGTGAAAAAAACAAAAAGATTACTACCTGTGCAGTTCTATGCACTGATGCTTAAGTGCTAGCACAAATTATGCATATAATGAGCTGAATCTAAACTTAGTTCTGCACACAGAGCAGATTCTCTATTTTACTTACATGCAAAGGTTGTTGTAGGAACAAATTAACTAACTCTGCATGCTAAAACCTGTTCCCAGAAACAGAGAAGGATCACTGCTCCCAATTGGCTCAACAATGCCTACCTCTTGAAGCAGGTCCTGGGAACCCCGCTCTGGTCAGTTCCAATACCAACTGTTGTAGGCTACAGTCTTCTAGGGTATCTCAAAATTTTACCTCTTTGTCATGACTAGAACACATGACTAGAACACATATGTTGACATTTCTACAATGTCTCCTCTTTGGGATTCTGTCTTGATTTTGTTCTTCATCTCAAGATCTCCCTGAGCATTTTGATCAGGGGGGGTGATAGCACATCCCCAGTACTAAATTACTCTTGGGGCCCAGTATCACCACCCACAATGATTCTGTGACAGAGTCTGCCCCTTTGAGGATTTCTAGCCCTGAAGGACCTTTGAGGGAAAATGCAGCAGAAAAACTGCATGAACTTACTTTCCTACATTTTATCAGTTACTTTTCCTTTATCTATTCTAGCAACTGTTGCAATAGGTGAATAAACGGACAGGTTTGTAACAGTGCCATGTAGTTTTTGTATGCAAAGTACACTCTGCATGCTCAGTCAAAGCTTGGTTCCCCATTCTCCCTTTTCACCAGGAGCAACTGGTATTGAAGATCGGCTGCAAGATGGAGTGCCTGATACCATTGCTGCTTTCAGAGAGGCAGGGATCCAGACTTGGGTGCTGACTGGAGATAAGCAGGAAACAGCAGTCAACATTGCATATTCTTGCAAACTTCTGGACCAAAGAGACACAGTCTTTACCATTAATACTGAAAGTAAGGTGAGTCCAAATGGCCTGCAAGGGACTCTATGACGACTTCTTTAATGATCTGCCATGCAAGCTTCCTTCATCTTTAATGCAGCATTAAAGTGAAAAACATGGGTCAAATTGTTATTTGGGGAAAAATGATACTTTTGAAGCTGCACTATGCTGTATTATCAGAATTCAGGAAGATCTTATAGGCATGGAAGACAAACATTTGATTTTAATATTTCACACTTATCTGGCAATTTGTAAAAAGCCTTGTCTCCAAATAGTGTTGAGGTTTTGCTAGCTAGAAGGCTTGCTATCTGTCCCTTGCTAGATTTGTATACAAAATAAGTAACTGTCCTATGAAATAAGAGCATGTGGTAAGCCTACTTGCTAGATAACATTTCACTGGCAACAATTAAACTGGAAATGTTTCCTTTACCCTGTTCCAATTAATTCATTCCTGCAGGGGATGCTTATGGCAAGCCTGCACAACTAGTGACCCACCAAGTCAAATGTAGCCCAGCAGCCAAATCTGATGGACCAACAACAACCCAGTAAACCACAGGTTTGTGCTGTCTGCCTTTTACTGCAGAAATCTGGGGATGGGGGTATCAAGCACCTGTGGGCTTGACATCCCTCATGGGACAGGCACCTGTTGCTTGGCTGGTCACATGTTGTATAGTTCAGGCAGCTATCAATGGTGCTGAAAATTCAATTTCTGACTCGATCAAAGCTCCCAGACTAATTTGCAGACCAAAACATGCTTACCCTTCAGATTTTACTCTTATCCAGTAGGTGCAGTACACTTCTCAACTTTAAAAGCATACCAAATGTATTTAAAATGTAGTTTGTGATAAAATACATTTAGAAATGTGAGGTGAAATGTTTATTTAAATACCATGTAGGGATAAAATGCATATTGAAATGTGTGTTTACTAGCTTTTAGGGAGATTTAAAACACAGAGAAAGGCAGATGAATGTGGAAGCAGGACAGAGCAGACATGAATGAATGAATTCATCCAAAATTAACCCAGACCAGAATTAGAGTGATCCATCTATTTCTAGTACTGGGATTGGGCCCCTAAACTAGGAATGTACTGATATGGGATCTTTATCACCTAATACTTGAGCACCAATTCCAGCGACTCAGTTTAATCATCAGACCGTAAAGCAGCTATGCTACTACATTTATATACAGTAGAATGGTCTATTCAGATACATACAATGATATCGGTTTGAATGCATTTGCTATCAACTTACTAAAATTACTTCTATGTATTCCCTGAGGATAGCATATCCTATGAACAATAAATGAACAAGGCAATTCTCAAATTGTAAAACAAGGGCATGCCAATGGGCCTTTGTAGCTGTTTAATTTATATTTTTGATTAGAGAGACACCTTAATGAAAATCTGTATTTTTCATTATTATTTTTAAATGGTGCTTTATGTTTTATGGAAGTAGATAAATGTTTTTATAAATAAATAAATAAATAAATAAATAAGCAAGCTAATAATTAGTATAATACAAATTAGCTACAAATTATGGATGCCTTGATAAGTCATGACTTAGTTAAGTTCAAAAAGGGTATCAGAAGTAAATTGAAATTATCATTGCCAAACGTTTGATAAAGTGACTTGTTGGAAGGCTTTGGTAAGTCAACTCTTGGTTTAGATTCACCAGTCTTTGGGATACGCAAACAAAATGAAAAAAAGCTGTGGGCTTTTTTTTTAAAAAAAAAAGGTTAGCACAAAACTTTCTAATAATGGAACAAGTCCTGCTTATAGTGCAATGGAGAATACAACTTAACACAACTCTCTTTTCATAGGAAACCTGTGAATCACTGTTGGATATTACATTGGAAGAAGTGAAGAAGGCACAAAGCATTCAAGGGATATCTTGGACTGTTTTTGGCATCAAGCTGCCATTTTCTATGTCCACCACTGTGACTGCAGATCCTGCAATTGGTCTGGTGGTTGATGGAAGAACGCTGAATACCATTTTCCAGGGACAACTTGAGCATAAGTTTCTGGAACTAACCAAGTACAGCCGTTCAGTTTTATGCTGCCGGTGTACCCCCTTGCAGAAGAGCATGGTGGTCAAACTTGTACGGGGTCAGCTGAAAGTTATGACGTTGGCAATAGGTGAGTAGTTGCCATTTGAGCATCATGATCTCATGACTTGGCTGCTATTTAGCTTGAAATGTGAATGCTAAAGCCATCTCGTATCCTACACCAGAGGGGCAAATATGTCCATTTACTCAGAGGAACCAGTGGCACATTATGTACTAACTTGCATCCATCACAGATCTAACACCATCACAGATCTACAGTGGTGCCTCGCAAGACGAAATTAATTCGTTCCGCAAGTCTCTTCGTCTTGCGAGTTTTTCGTCTTGCGATGCACGGTTTCCCATAGGAATGCATTGAAAATCAATTAATGCGTTCCTAGGGAAACCGCCTTCAGACCAGGTCTGGGGACAGTGTGTCCCCGGACCTCTTCTGAAGGCTGGGGGGGGGAAGTCTTTGCTCCCCCCGCCTGCATTCAAAAGCCCTCCGGGACAGCGGAGAAACGTGCTGCGTTTCTCCGCTCTCCCGGGAAGGCAGGCAGGGGGGAGCAAAGACTTTTGCCCCCCGCTGGCCTTCAGAAGAGGTCCAGGACCTCTTCTGAAGGCTGGCGGGGGGCAAAAGTCTTTGCTCCCCCCCCTGCCTTCAAAAGATGTCCGCCCAGGGTTCGCGGACCTCTCCGCAAGCAGCGGCAGCGCTGCCGCAGCTTGCGGAGAGTTGCCGGCATGCCGAAGCCTGGGCACGCCGAGATCAGCGCGCCCAGGCTTCGCGGCCCCGCCCCCGGCATCGGGGCATGGTCCCGATGGCGGGCGGCGGGGGGAGGCGTTCCCGCCCGTCCACCGGCATCAGGGCATGGTCCCGATGGCGGGCGGCGGGGGGAGGCATTCCCGTCCGCCGCCCGGCATCGGGGCATGGTCCGGGGCTTTTAAATTGCCCCGGAACAGCAGAGAAGTCCCCCGCTGTCCCGGGGCTTTTTAAAATGCTGGCGGGCGACAGCGGAGGCTTCGCTCCCACCCGCCAGCATTTTAAGATCGCCCTGGACAGCGGAGAAGTCCCCCGCTGTCCCGGGGCTTTTTAAAATGCTGGCGGGCGACAGCGGAGGCTTCTCTCCCGCACGCCAGCATTTTAAGATCGCCCCGGACAGCGGAGAAGTCCCCCGCTGTCCCGGGGCTTTTTAAAATGCTGGCGGGCGACAGCGGAGGCTTCGCTCCCGCCCGCCAGCATTTTAAGATCGCCCCAGACAGCGGAGAAGTCCCCCGCTGTCCCGGGGCTTTTTAAAATGCTGGCGGGCGACAGCGGAGGCTTCGCTCCCGCCCGCCAGCATTTTAAGATCGCCCCGGACAGCGGAGAAGTCCCCCGCTGTCCCAGGGCTTTTTAAAATGCTGGCGGGCGACAGCGGAGGCTTCGCTCCCGCACGCCAGCATTTTAAGATCGCCCCGGACAGCGGAGAAGTCCCCCACTGTCTGTCCCGGGGCTTTTTAAAATGCTGGCGGGCGACAGCGGAGGCGCTTCCCCGCTGTCCCGGAGATTTCCCTATGGGCTTTCGTCTTGCGAAGGAAGCCCATAGGGAACTTCGTCTTGCGAAGCGCCTCCAAAACGGAAAACCCTTTCGTCTAGCGAGTTTTCCGTCTTGCGAGGCGTTCGTCTTGCGGGGTACCACTGTAACACCAACTGTTAAATATTGCCTCATCTACCATCATGCACATTTATTGTCAATAGCAGCTGTTTGCATGTCTAAGCGCAAGTTGTCAAGTGATGTGCATGTGTAAATCAGCCTTCAGCAATACCAGATTGTTTGAAATGTGATGTCAGGTGTGAGTGTAAAGTGGCTTACTCGTAATATTTAACTGATCACAGCTCTGAGGTATTGCTGTAACACAACAACTTTATAGAGGCATTTTAGCCAAGTTCCAAAGAATTGAGGGACTCGACTCATGAGATCAAGAGGCTTTATATGGTTAATTTACTCAGGCAGTAGACCCCAAGCCATTTGACAAGGTGCATTTGAAGCCAAACAGAGTTTTAAAAGCAGCTAGTGACATGCCTTTGCAGTGAGGGGGGCACGCAGCTGTTCAAAAGGGGATGAGTCAATAATGCCACCAGGCTGAAACGAGCCTCTTGCGTGAACCTAAGTTGCCTTCTTACTCATTTGACATCAAGGGTGGTATTCAACACATGTGTAAGTATTACCACTAGTGCAATGGGGTGCCCTCCCCTTCTCCTCACCTTGCACCATCCCCAAGTCTGTCACAGAGGGTTGGGGGGGGGACCCAGAAGAAATTTAGCAGAAGAACATGCATTTATGCAAGAAGAAATCCTTGCAGATGGAACCTGCAACTCTATGCCATGTTGAATATAGCCCTTTGCATTAACTTACAATTTGTTTCAACTATTGCTGTTTCCCACTTTTTTAGGTGATGGTGCCAATGATGTAAGTATGATTCAGGCAGCTAATGTTGGAATCGGTATTTCAGGACAAGAAGGGATGCAGGTATACATAAGAACTGAAGTGTATTCCTTTGTCTTTGGCAGCTACTGCTGGGGCATTTGTCATCAGCGTTCAGAATTTATAGACGGGTGTATTCTGTGTATAACATGAATGTAAGCTATCATTATGGCTATCTGATATAATATGCTAATAAACCAAGGTGAAATGTCCTGTCTTCACAATTAATCAAAGCGCTTATGTGCTTGCCTTGACTTCATATATCACTGTTCTTCATGCTAATGTCCAGGGCTAGAAACAGTTCCCTGCCTCGCTTGTTATCCCAATAATGCAGAGAAGTGATGCTGAGTCACTGGAAACCCAGAGGCAGGTTGCGATTTAAACCTCACCATGTCCGGCAGCCTCCACACAGGATTCCACTGCCTGTAGAAAACTGCTGAATTAAATAGTAATCCTTGAGCACTTTCCCCAAGTGTCTAGTACTTCAGGCTATCTCATCCAAAATTGCTCCTATCCTCTTACTGGAATAGGATCATCTTCTATGTGATTACGTTCTTGTGACAGACTTGGAAAGGCAAGCGCTTGCAGTTTCATAACGAAACCATAGCCAGTTTTGAAATCAAGCCAAACTTGAAACATTTTGCACTTCCTCCTAGTCATTGCTTTTGCCCAGCTGGTTGGTGTTTGCCTGTCTTTCGTTTGTTTTGGGGTCAGATAAAGCGGAGGAAATAAATCTCTTCTTTTCATTTCTGTTTCAGGCTGTCATGGCCAGTGATTTTGCCATATCTCAATTCAAGCACTTGAAGAAGTTGCTTCTAGTTCATGGGCATTGGTGCTATTCCCGCTTAGGCAAGCTGGTGATATACTTTTTCTATAAAAATGTGGTAAGTTTCAGACATCTTCCGTTGCCTCTGTGCCAGCTGCGGATGCTTTCTTCTCATAGCCACAGATGATGATGACAATGAAGGTTCATATTTGTACTGATTAAGGATCCATTCCAGGCAGCTTACAAGCTCCAAAAATACCATACAGAACATTCCATTTAAAAATCACATTCAGAGCCTGAAATGATGAATAACCATCCAATAAAAAGGCACAATAAAAACAGATTGGCCCTTAAGTTGACTACAGAGACTTGTTCCCATTTTTTCCTCAAAAGCTGAGAAGGAGACACTTCTAAGTCATAATCCCCTATCTTAAATAATAATGATTTAAGGAAAAAAATGTTGACAACCATAGGTATCATCCTGGCTGTGTTTCTGCATACAGAATAGTAAATTATAACTACTCGGAATGGGACTTGGCTCTGTATTATGCTGAAAAGCCTGCCAATACACTTAATTTGATGAGAGCCACATGCTAGCAATTAGCAACAACAGTAATCAGCTTTACCAACATAATGAGAAAGCGCGCGCACACACACACACACACACACCCCACACCTCCATTTTCAAGTCGTGTATTTCCATAAGGGAGGTAACCTGAAACATCACACTTTTTAGAGATTCAAAGCTCAGGTTTGAGAAGGAGTGGAAGAGAAGCAAGTCTTCCATGGGAACTATCAGAGCTGTATCACCTTAATAAACTCCTTTCACGAGTCTTCCCTTCCCATCATTTTCTTTTCAAAAGCCCGCATTCCCCCTCCTCTCATCCACCGTAGATTCCATTTCCCCTTTTGATACTATTTTTCTATGTATTGTTTTTCTGTGCTGTCTTGAAGATACAGTGAAGATTGTGTCTAATGCAGTCCCACCCACCTTATTCAAATGACCTGGTGGTAGGCATTACATGAACTCACCCTTCTCTACTAGATATCCCATTCCTGTGAACAGGAATATGTCGGCTGGAACAGCAATATTTGGGTTGTAGTTTGCCTTCTTTGCCAACAAGATCCATAAGGGTTCTTTCTTTTGCGCTGGGAGCTTTCCACCTGCAGTTTGGTCTCTCACACACTATATATTCTCTCCTTTTTCCATTTTCTCACTTCTGTATTCTATTCAAAAAGGTGTTGAAGATGTTTAAACTGAAGAGCTGTTCCAAGAGCAGAGTTTAAATTTGTGAAAACAACCTTTGAATAGCAAATAAATGGTTCCTGGCCATCAGCACATAAGGCTAACTGCATACAGTGGTACCGGGGGTTAAGAATTAATTTGTTCTGAAGGTCCATTCTTAACCTGAAACTGTTCTTAACCTGAGGTGCCACTTTGGCTAATGGGGCCCCCCGCTGCCACCACGCCGCTGCCTTGTGATTTCTGTTCTCACCCTGAAGCTAAGTTCTTAACCCAAGGTACTATTTCTGAGTTAGCGGAGTCTGTAACCTGAAGCAACTGTAACATGAGGTACCACTGTACAGATGTTTCCTACTAAGAAAACAACCCAGCCCAAGACCCACTTGCTGGAGGCCGTTAGGTTGGTGCAGGGGGTGCATTGTCCCTGGAGCTTCAGGAGAAAGTGGGTGTCTTAGTGCAAAAGGTTCTCAAACCTTTTACCCACCAGCTGCTTCCCCGTTCTAAATTTCCCCAGCAGCAATTTCTGTCTATGGTAGTCCAAAACCTAGCGCAAACACACTTTTAGAAGTTCATGGTAGGAATAGCAACTTGGGGACGATTTAGAGAGAAGGAAAAGGAGGCAATAATATCATACAGAAATATCAGTCAAGCACCCTTTCCCTCACTTTTTATTTAAATTCCCCACTCCCAATGCTGCATTTCTCTTTTAAAAATAATTTCAGAGCTCAGTTGTAGTTAGCTTCTCAGACTGATCAAAAACCTGATTAAGATCAAATACTTGGATTTTTTGAAGTCATTTGGACTGAATTGCCTTAAATCAAAGTACTTAAGCATTAACTGAGTCACAGCGCAGACTGTAAGGTGTTCTAGGAGCTTATCATCTGTACACATGTAAGAAAGTGTGCGTGGAAATATCTTGAATAACACAAACAGCTAATGTATTTTGCCTTTTAAACATTTTCCCACCAGACCTACGTCAACCTGCTGTTCTGGTACCAGTTCTTCTGTGCATTCTCTGGAGCCGCCATGATAGACTACTGGCAAATGATCTTCTTCAACTTGTTTTTCACTTCTGTGCCACCAATACTTTCGGGAGTCCTGGATAAAGATGTTTCCGCAGGAACTCTGCTGAGCTTGCCTGGTCTTTATAAGAGCGGACAAAACTCAGAGGTACACCTTTCTTGCTCAAGGAAGCCTCACAAGTCCCTGTAGTTTTTCACATATCCTTCAACACAGTGGGTGAAAAAGCAGTTTGGGGAGGGCAGTTTTAAGGTGGGGAGGGTTAAGCAGCCTCTCTCTGTGCAGTCTTACTCCGCCTAAACTGTAATGTACAACTTGAACTTTGGCTACAGTCTACAGTCACTTCAGGTGACTTCTCTTGCACTGGGAAAAGAAATGCAATGAGATCTAAATATGTGAAGAATAAGAATTTTCAGAAGCATTTTAGAAAACATAATGTTCTCTGGTTTTATAAAGTATCTCAATAGGATTCTGTTTTATTCTGAACCTTTAGGTTGTTTATTATTTTTCATGTGCATGGTACTATTTGTATTGAAAGTTATTTACCATCCATATCTCATTTATCCTCACAATTGCCCCTTTGTACATAAATTGGGGAATTGTGACTTGCTGAAGGCCATCCCACGCAGTTTATGCCTGAATGGGTGCTTTTACAGCCCAGTGCTGTAAAAGGAAAGCTTTCAGTTACAGTATTCTCCTCCGTGATGGCTTCCCCAAGGAGGGGGAAACTGGAGAGTATTGACTCTCTTTTTTCACAGAGGACTCAACTGCCACATTAAATACAAAACAAACAACAACCTCTGACTGAAAATCAAGTGTTTCTCTTTGTGTTATGATTTGCTGCAGGTTTACAAGCCTCTGACGTTCTGGGTTGCCATTTTGGAATCTTTTTATCAGAGCCTTATCTGCTTCTTTGTCCCTTATCTGGTAAGTATTTAAGGCACTCTCTAAGCGGCTCTTAATGAAACAAAAATTGTGTCAGTCAATAAGCCTACAACTATTTCTGTTTTCCAGGCATATCTTGATTCCGATATTGACATTTTCCGCTTTGGAACAACAATCAATACAGTCGCTCTCCTTACTATTCTGTTTCACCAAGCTTTAGAAATTCAAACATGGGTATGTAGATAAACCCTTCAGTAACTATTATAGCTTCCTGATTGCCTGCTTTTAGAAATGATTGTCATAACTTATGTACCCTGTGCTAGCTTGTTCTGCATCCCTTTTAAGATTTGGCTAGTCTTCAAAATAATAAACATGCTATTGTGATTAACAAAACAGAGAGCAGGATTCAGCTAAGGAGTCCCATCAGTGGAAGCCCTGTGAAAGGACTTCCACTTGCACAGTGGAGTTGTCCTTGTTTCGGAAGCTGAAATGTTTTGCCACATAAATGAAAAATATTCTAGTTTGTTAATCGCATATATATATATATATATATATATACGCACATCTATATCTGGCTGCTTCTGCATGAACATTTGCAGTTGTTGCCTTTTCTCCTGTACTGGAATCCTGGTGACCAAACTTGCTGCCATAACGGTTCCTTTCCTCACATCTTGTCCACAGACTCTGTCCCATGGAATTACAATCACTGTGAGCATTCTTCTGTACTTCATTTTCTCAACCATCTACAATGCCACATGTGTCGTCTGCAACCCTCCCACCAATCCCTACTGGATTATGGAGTTTGAGATGTCGCAGGCGAGCTTTTATTTCATATGCATCATTACTCCAGTCATAGCACTTCTTCCAAGGTTTGAACATATGCTTCTTTTTGTACCTGTTGGGTAGAATACCATGTCCTGGTCAGCAACAACCTAGTTCCTGGGTAATGGTGGGAAGGGGCTTTAAGAATGGATTGCAACAGACTTAATGTGGTGTTTCTTGTCTCCCCATCACCTGCTGTGCCTCTGATCAGCTACTTTCTTCTGATTTCTGATGGTCTCTGGAAGAGAGGCTTAAAATCCTTGACAGCCTGTTACCTTCTGTGCTGTCACAACCTCTTTCTGGAGTTCGGGAGGCATCAAGTCTGTGTACCTTGGCTGGAACATAAAGGCTTTGTGGTTGTGCTGTGTAATGGAGTTCTTTGAGAGGCAACCTTTGAGCATTTCAAAGCAGAGGGGAAAACTGCTTTTCTGGTGCTTTCCTCTTCAGCACTCGAATATGGATCTAGTTAACTGTCAGGTCTCAAAACTTTTTCCCAGCTGTCAACAAGGCCTTGGAACAACTACAAATGTACAGTGTTTGCTTCACCACCACTGCTATACAGAGAGAGAAAAGGAGACAGAGAAAGCAAAGCATGTAGAAGCAGAATCTTCTGCTCATTTGATTTGGAAATCTTGTTCTTCATCTATCCTACTTTATTCACTCACTATAAACACATATTGATTTGAGGGCAGATTCAGAAGGAGAACATTAAAGCTTGTTTCCATAGCATTCTGCTCCTTTGGTTTTGGTTTTCTCTTAAAAAAGAAATCGGCTCCTCTGTTGTGAAATAATTATTCAGGCTGGAGTTTCACAAGGGTCCCTGCAGTCTGAAGGTTAAAAAGCTGCCATACATTAACCGTGTGAGCCCTGCCACAGTTGTATGTCAGCGATGCACTCCCAAGTGCCACCTGTATGAGGATGGAATTTAGAGCAAATGGCTGCATTCAGACATACATAATCATAAACATTGGTACATTCTTACTTGAATGAGCTTGAGCAAGCCTTGGACTGCCATACTCCAGCAGACCATGAGGAGATCGGAAGTTTTTAATTAAAAACAACAACAACTAACCACAGTTTGTCATTATGTTTAAATCTGAACAAACAGTGGTTTATGAAATTGACTTACCGGTATTTCAGTAAACTATATATAAATCTATGATTGACTGCAGTTTAGGGTTCACTAAGTCCAGGTCCCCATTTATGTTAGGAAGCTCTCCTTGTCCCTACCATAGGAGCAGGGGTGAAAACATGCTGGTAGCCACAGCAACAGAGGTTTCCTGGTGTGGTGCATGTCATCTTCTCTCTTGGGAGAGGAGCTAGATTCAGGCAGCCCATAGCACTAAACTGCAGTTAACAAAAATTGGAAGTGAAGACTTCTAACCTCCTCTTCACGGCTGCACCAAAGAGGGTAAGGACTGTGTCACTAAAGAACAAGGCTCATTAATGCAATAATGAACCATAGGTTATCACCAGATCCAACTTCAGTCAATGAATGTATACAAAGATCTTACCAGGGACTTTGGCATGATCCATCTTTGCAACCTGTCATGTCCCCATGTAATGAGGAAATGTGATGTTACCACATACCACCCTGATCTTAAGCAGGAACTAGATAGCAACCCCTGACCTGGGAGTCCCTCCTTTTATTTGATTCTCACTACAGCAGACTAGGGGTTGTAAGGGATCAGAACTCTATGATCACTCCCAAGGGGAAAATAGGAGGAAGAAGATCAGGCATGGTGGGCTTTTTTTCACATTCAAAATCTCCTATGAAGTGGAGCAGGGAAGATGAGAACTGAACTCTAGTTCTCAGGAGCTTGGCAGGATGGAGTTATTCTACTCCCTCTGTGTAGAGCTGGACTGTGTCCCACTTTGGCTTTGAACTTTCTGTACCTACCTTAGTTATTCTTACACTAGTGGCTATCAGGCAACCAAGAGGGATTGCAATAAGGCTAGAAGCCATGTTGAGCAGAGGGTGCTAAATTCTCTCCCATGGGGAGTTTACAATCTAAACAAGCCAAGTCAAGGCAGAATCTGAGAACTTTTTTAGGAATTGATTTTTACACAGATCAGCCAGCCACATGCGTGTAAGCAAATAATGTTAATTCCTAAACAGGATTTAGCTCTGCCACAGGCCTGGTCAATCTGCTGCTGAAAACTAGTTCATAAGGGCTGTTAGCACCATACCGATGATTTACCAAATATGACCCAGAACTGCAAAACTAATAAGCATTGTCACTTTCTGCTTAGCTTGCTGGTGTTGAACAACGGTGCCAAAACAAGATACAACCTGTACTTTTTCCTGCTGTTTCACTACACGGAAATGAAAGGAAAAAGATATTCCCACTCAACTAATTACCTCCACCCAAAAATGGCCCCCTGGAATCAGTCACCAGTTTGTTTATTTCTTTTGACATATTTATAGCCCACTTGTTTCCCGAGATCTCATGGTAGAGAACCACAACACTTCATTTAAAACTGGAATCAATTAATCAAAAATAAAAATAACATCAAATAAGATTTCAGTTACAGCCGACCATAAAGCAACAGAAATGTCTCTAAAAAGCCCAAGCTGGACCTCAATATTTTCTAAAGGCTTGAATGTTTTACATTGGCACTGATTTGGGGGGAGAGTAGATGTCAGTTGAATTTCAGAGGGGAAGGCGCCCCACAACCTGGGTACTACCACACAGAAGGCCCTTTCTCACATCACCTTACACTGTGTGAGGTGAGACACTGTTGTAAAATTTTAACATCCAAGTGGCGATTACATAGGGAGAGGTGCTCCTTCAGATATTTAGGTTCAAGCATAAATCTTGATGGCAGCCAGTGCAGTTCTTTCAGAACCAATGGAGTGTGGTCTGGCCTGTTCTGCTCATTTTGCTGTTAGCTGCCATTTTGAGTCTTTCAAAGAGTCAACCCTACACAGAGCACAATCAATATTCAGGATGGAAGGTTATCAGAGTATGAGTTTGATGCCCAGGCTGTCTCCTGTCCCAACACAGCCACCGCGGTGGTTGAAAGCGTGGCCTAAGGTACTTCACCACCAATGAGGGACACTTGATCTCCTCGTGACAAAGATGGATCTCGGGAATATTCCCAGACTATGGACTTGTTCTTTCAAGGGGGATGTAGCCCCATCAAAAGCAGTGGTTTACTGTCACTCTTTGCCCTAAGAAACACTGCTTCCAGGGAGGCTTTAGGATGAGGGGAACATAACTGCAGTATTTATGAATAGTTGGGGTGTTGCCATTTTTTATTGTGCAATTGAGTACTGGATATAATGTTTCCTAACGTGCTGTGTTGCTTATGTTATTTTTTATGTTGGCAAACCACCCTGCGGCCTTTTTGACAAAGAAAAGAATATCCATTTCTTAATGACTAATTTAAATAATATTGTTCCCAAACCGTAGCACCTGCCCTTGTCAGGATTCAGTCTTCAATTCCTGGGCCCTCATCCAGCCCATCAAAGCTACCTTAGTGCCACACCACTTTCTAGCTAGACCACAGAGGACCCATAGATAAATGCAGCAGGCTGTACTAGTTCCTGAACCCTTGCCCAACAGTCCTCTTCCATGCACAGGGCAGCCCCCACAGTATCCTTGCCCCTTTCTCTCCTTTGCAACCCCCTCCCTCCAACAAAAGGACTTTCATATCTTCAAACCTGTCTCCTAACACACTCTCTTCTATATTATTATTTGTCACTCATATAGCCTGCCTTTCCTCCAAAGTAACTATAAAGCAGTGTACACGGGTTTATCCTCCCCTGAAACCCAAGTGAGATGGGTCAGGCCTAAAAGAAAGCAACTGGCCTAAAATCACATATGGCTGATTTGACCCTCCTACAATTCCAAGCCCTCGGCTGGCCTATCAGTGTTATAAGGTCACTGTACAAGCAGATTGTCTTGCATAAATGATTACCCAGAGCATTACAGTGGTACCTCAGGTTAATACGCTTCAAGTTACATACGCTTCAGGTTTACAGCGACTCCGCTAACCCAGAAATAGTGCTTCAGGTAAGAACTTTGCTTCAGGATGAGAGCAGAAATTGTGCTCCGGCGGCGTGGGGGCAGCGAGAGGCCCCATTAGCTAAAGTGGTGTTTCAGGTTAAGAACAGTTTCAGGTTAAGTACGGACCTCCAGAACGAATTAAGTACTTAACTTGAGGTACCACTATATACTACTTCATCAGATATCTACAGAATAGGAGAACCAGGAAGAGTGAAAGCTTGTTTTTATGAGGGTACTACTAAAGTTGTTTGTTTGTTTGTTTGTTTGTTTGTTTGTTTGTTTGTTTGTTTGTTTAGGTATCTTATCTTGGCTCTTCAGGGAACTTTTGAGGTATCGCCCATTGTGAAAGCACAACACTTGGATAAGCTCCCTAAAGAACAACAGGACTGGGAAATAAAGAAATGGAAACTGAGGGAACAAGGCCAAAGTGTCTGCAATGATGAGCCTGAAGGACCTATTGCAAACATGGGTGTGTCCTCACCTGACATTGCAGCAGAGCGCACGTTTCAAGGTCTCTGTCCTCCAGAACAAGAAGCCCTCAGGAACCAGGCATCGAACAGAGGAGACAATGACTACACCAAATGGTGGGGTGGGGAAGAGGATGTGGCTGCCGGTTTCCTGTCAGCAGATGCATCTCCTGGGCAAAGTATACCAGCAAAGCCCTTTTCTGGCCTCCTGACCAATGGCGCTGAAAATTCCAGTCAAAGGAGCCACCGGCGGTCTGTGAGTGCAGTGACTCTATGAAAGAACTTGAGTTTTTGATTAAAAGAAATTGAAATTGCTTCTCTGCACAACCTCCACCTCCCACATAGTGAGCAAAGGTAGCAGAGGGAAGATAGAATTTCTATTTATATTAAATGGCAATGCCTTGTGGAAAGAGAGACCTAAAGTATAATTTCACCAGCCTGGCGGAACAGTGTGTTTTATCTTCACAATGTGCTGTTCCTCCGGTATGTGCAAGTGAACTTACTGTGAGGAAGAGAAGTTCCAAACAACTTGGAGAAATATTATGCAAGAATCCCTTCGTCAATGTGAAATGCACTATTTCCTTGGAAACGGACAGTATAACCTGAGTAGAACTATTTTGCTTTATCCAATAATGAGCCCCTTCTGTCTTCTGAATCTGACCCTAAACGTGTCACTCTGAGCCTCCTGCTGATTGGCAGCTACATGGCTGCAATACAGTTTTGATCCATTTCGCCACTACTATAATTGTTTCCTAGGAATTTCTCCAGATTACAGCACTTTATGGTGAAACAATCAGTTTTAAAGACCAGAATGAAATAAGTCAACAGTGCTGAATTCATCA